CATCTAATATCACTGAATCTTACTTTGGTTGCTGTCTAATTGACCTTGTTTCTATATTAGATAATTCTTGTATTACCTGATCAATTATCTAAACTTGACAAACCTCATGTATATGCGCACGCACAAATAATTACATATAAATGCGATTGTACAGTTATGTGTATGAATTCACCGAAAAGAGTCTCTTCGCTGAACGTATTCCCTTTAACTGGTTTTAATGCCAAATGTAAATTTTGTATAATGATACCAGTGTACAATGAGGAGGAGTAGAAGAGTGATTCAGGTTTTGTAAACATTTTGGTCCATAATGTATGGAGTAACAGATTCATTTATTACTTTTAATCATAACTTATGTCAGTAAGACACTAGTTAAAAAAAAACTGTGATTTTAGAACAACCCTTAAATTCATTGAGCCTGTTGAAGTGTACAAACAGTTTAGTCGATGTTTGTGTTCTTAGTGAACGCCGCGTCACTTGTTCAGATATGCTTAAATTTAAATTACTTGTGTGGTGATAGCTAACAGTGGAATCTAGCAGGCCTGTTTCATCCTATTTTGGACTCCCTAGCCATATGTACTTGCCTCATTGAGAATGACGGTGCCACCACTGGAACTTGAACCTATTACGCATCGCCCCAAACTCCAGAGAGTTATTTACTGGACTACTGAGCCTTGAGAGTCAACTCAAGTAGTCCATATACTAAGCTAAAGATGATCGGTGCGGTCAGATATATATACCGCAAATCAGAAAAGTGTGTAAAGTAATTTAAAATCACACTACTAGCATAAAAGGTGGCTGCTGTGGCTTAGTTGTCTACTGGGAAACACCCCAAATTTTGGAGAGTTGAGTACTGGGTTCAAGTCTCCAGGGGAGCAGAATCACTCACTAAAGTGTAACTGTGTGCAGATGATGAGTCCCTAATAAAAAAAATGCATATCCTGGATTCTACAGCTGGTCGCTAGGAGAAAAGTAAGTTTGGGTTCTTAATTCTGGCAATAGCGCGACATCCTTTCTAGGAGACCATGTACCAAACTGAAGTTAATCAGTACTACCAGATATATAAGCAGGAAACCACAAACTTAAATAAAATAGCTGTATTGGTTTATTGTGTTATTACTCACTTAGACTAACTATGACAGCTTTCTTCAGTGTATCATTCTATATGACCCTGATGATCTTGAGTACTATTTTCTAGATTTAAATATTCTGTTAATTGGCTTCACTTATCGTTTTCCGTATATCTGTGATTGGTAAGCTCTGTTGAATTTATTGTATAGTCAAATCTTGATTTCTTACAACTTCCATGATATTAATATGACAGGATGGGGGATTTCATCATGAGCTGACATCAGTTAGAGGACCACTGGAAAAGCAACTGGGAGTACTGGACAGATGTTTCGTCCCCGTTTGGGACTCGCCGGTAGCACGCACCCACTGGGTTTCAAACCCAGGACCTCCTGATTACAGGGCAAGTTTTTAGACCATTCAGCCAGTGAGACCCAACTCATTCAAACAAAAAGAATTTTCGTAGGGATTTTGTTTTAGTTATCATTAATACAAATAAATTGTGGGTGCGTACCGATAAAGAGTTCCATACTGGGCTGAGGAGATAGCTGTCCAGTACTCCCGGCTGGTTTTTCAGTGGTTTTCTAACCGATGTTAGCTCATGATGAAATCCTCCATCCAATCAAGCAAAATACCTGCAAAACCAATGCTTGTAAATTAATGCGATCGTTAATTCTCCATCCTCTTTCTGTTGATTCGAAGGAGAGGCATTACGGAATTATTCTGTAAACAGAATAATCTCAGTAGTTTAAAGCTAGTCAAATTCATATAATCTTATTTACCAAATTACTTGAGCACAGTCGAGTTAGTAGAGATTGATATATCTTTGTATTATCACTTTGGCTGCAAATTAAGTGGTCGTAAGTATTCCCGTATTCATTCAGTTTTTCTTGTACTGTCTGATCTGGATAGTTTAATAATGAAACTTCCACTGTTCTTCTAGACAGCTTCTCCAGCGTTGACTACTGTCAATAGTCAATGAAGTGTATTCAGCTTGTCCCTCACATACACATTACATAATAAATTTAAGATTGTCTGAACAAGTGTCGTTTATTTTACCTCCTTAAATCACTTGTTCAGCATTAAGCCTATATCTCGTCTCGAAGCGTTTCACACAAAATTTCTTAGACTCATTTAGGCAATTACTATTATAGTTGAACTTAAATTAGTCTGAAGTATTATTCCATAGACACGAATTATTGAGATTCGATTATCAGCCCAGGTGGAGATACTGTTAAGAGAAGCTATTTAGGTTTTCAACTCCGACCTCGCTATCAAAGCTGGGTTTCATAAATACACTGCCTACTAGATTGCAGGTAGAATACAATTTATTCGTATTACTGATAACTAAGACAAAATCCCTACAAAAAATTCTTTTTGTTTAAGTGGGCTGGGTCTCACTGGCTGAATGGTCTAAAAACTTGCCTTGCAACCAGAAAGTCCCGGGTTCGAAACCCAGCGGGTGCGTGCTGCCGATAATTCTCAAAACACGGACGAAACACCTCTCCAGTACTTCCTGGTTTTCCGTGGTTTTCTGACTGAATCAATCGGTGATCAAACATGAAGTTAGTTAGACCGTTTAACTAGTTTTACGGCGAATTCGGCTATCAGCTCATAAACTCTTGACCACAAAAGCATTTCACTTCACTGTATGTGAAGCAGGCTGTTAGCTAAAAAATGTATGATGGGGTATTATTTAGAAAGTTCAGCAGAGGCTAAAATCTGGACACTATGGTGAGTCATATTTCCATTGTTATTATAAGTCTAGATAAACTGCATCGTAGAACAGATCAGATAAATGTTTCTACTCATCAATCAGCCTCATATTGTTGATTTTCTCAAAAACTACCTTACTAATCAACCTTTTCAACTGCTTAATTGAGTGTTTTTATTTGTCTAATAAGTGTTTCTCAAAATGAAAGATCTGTCAGATTCGAATATTTGGTTTATTTACCTTCGTTTGATCATAAAGTTAAAGAAACAGCAGTTCAGATTTCTTCATCTATATTTTTGTTATCAGCGTTTATTCTTTACTAGGAAACTTTTTCAGGCTTCATTTTATCTGTCCTTTCAAGTTCTTCAGTAAACTTATTTATGGTCTTGAATAGCTTTCCCCTTTAGCATCTGTTAGGTGGAGAGAGAGGTTAGTCACAGAATCCTTATTTATCTAATCAATACCAAACATGGACAATCAAAATAGCACAACGCCTATTTCCGATATATGGAAAAAGAGGGAAATATATATGAAGCAAATTATGAAGGCATGTGAATGATATGATATAGTTATGAGCAATAAGTTGTGCTCTAAACGACATCCAGTTATTAATTCTGTATTACTGGGTGTTATTGACACGATGATGGATGTCCAGTATTGAAATAAACCAGTCAGTTTTCTCACAGATCAGTGGAGAGAAAAGCAATGAATTGTCTTTTCTCACGTCTACGTGACTGACTTATGTACATATTCTTTGTTTCTCAGTTCCCTTTATATTATTACTGTTTCATTTAGTAAATATACTTTCCCTGTCACTCCATTCTGTGTTTTCGCATAAGTAGCATGATGGAAAATCAGGTGGCTGTTGTATGTGTTGTTGGCGCCAGCAGGCGATATTCTTCATCAACGTGTCTGTCACCAGCTCGGCATCCCTATTCGACTAAATGTTTGTTAAATGTTAAAGTTATAAAAAATAAAATTATGTACTACTCGCTGATTGTAGTTAGTATTTACCTACTTCCTTATAAACCAGCAGTGCTTACTGGCCAGGTTGAGACGATTCAAACACTGGCCTTCCGTCTCGGTTGTTTGGGTGTTGGTGTACCCGGCTTGACTCAGTTTGGAGAGCCTAATCAGTTCAAATCACCTGATTTCCGAATGGGTCTTTGGTTGAACTGGTCATGCCATAAATCAGATTGCAAATTGCTAATCACTTTGCAAATTTTGGCTTGAAAGCACTGATGGTTGATATGAGTGGTATAAAACTACTCATCACAATCAATAAGTAGTACATAGTTTTATTCGAAATTGCTTTCTTTCTTGGTCACCACTTAAGGTATCATCCAGATCACATATTTTGACTGGGATAACTTGGTTTCCAGTGAAAACTACGGTGAAATTTCGCCACTCATACTGTGTAAACTGAAATTTGCTAACCAATTTGCGAATTGGCAGTTTGAATTATATCGCATAAGCTCACCTAACATGGATTTGTAATCTACTGCAGTGCTTAAATTTTACTCTTACATTAACCTGCCATTTAGACTTTCCAGCCCATTGCATCTTACAGTGTACTGTAGTTTTCACTGCTTTCGTCGAAATATACGATTTCCCCTGCGAATTTCGCAACCTTTGCTTTTCCTTTCACTTTCGCTGTTTTCAAAGCTCAAGAGCTTATTTCGATTAAAAGTGGTATTATTCCTAAGTGTTCTTAGTTTTTTAGATTCTTGCTTTTTTAGTAATATCCTTTCAAGGAAGTCCAGATTAATTATGTCCGCAATGAAGTCAAACCTTCATTTCTAATCATAAAAGATGTGTTTGGACCTTTAACTACTGATCAAGCTTACAGCGCTCAGGTAATCTGAGCTGAAAGTATCGTTATATCTACTATGACGTTATTCTTACATTTGCTTCCATTTTATGAAATTCATAGTTTATTCCAGATAACTACGAAGGTTATCCTAGTAACTTTTAGTGGCTTCCTATGACCACTACAAACTCATTTGGGATTCGTTTCTAGAATTGTCCGAGTACTAATAAAATGGCTCTGGGTTTTGAATTTTGATTTATTAGTCTATGCGTTTATCTAAATCATATTCTCAGATACAGATGGGTTAAGTGAAGTATTCCTCAATTATCAAGATAACCAAGTTCGATGCTGTAAAACGCGTCAAAATATTTAACCCCATACCGCATCATCATAGAGATAAAAGAAAAGAAATGCATCTCAATATTCTACACAAGAATTTAATATATATATTCAAAGAAATGAGTTTAAGATTGTGGAACATACTGATAGTTATCATTTATCTGACAACTAAAGCTATTTTCCATAGAAAGAACCTTTATATGAATATATTGGTTTCAATCCATGCGTACTCTGATTATTAATTATCTACGATGATTAATCTAACTGCACCATAGTGAGAAAACAGTTTATATATAAATATATGTGTGAAAAAAAAGAATTATTTTTTTTGGTGGTGGCTCATGATCTTTATGAAGACAAGTTAAAAAGAAGTTGGAAGGAAAAGACTAAATAAATTAGTTAAAACACTCTATGAAAAGAGAATGAAAATTAAACCTCTTTTCTCAAAGTTTTCATTACATTGAAATACTGTCTGTCCCATCATCGGCTACTATCAAATTAATAAAGAAATAAATTATTCTAAATCTAACAACAAACGAAAAAAGGTTACATTCATCATATTCATTTTGAAAATAAAAGATACATTCTCGTAAAGGAAACAAAATCAAAAGAGAAAACAACAAATACGAGAATGAATGTATTGACAATTCGAAAATAAGAAAAAATTCAGGGAAAAATGATTGAGCTACTTAAATAAAACAAAAAAAAGGAGAGTTGGGTTTTCTCTATGCTCAAACTGCACAAACATGTAATAACACAATAATACATGAACTAATAATAATAATAATAATAGGTAGATGTGACTTTCTTCCTTGTGTAACAGGTTTTCATAAGTGAATAATTCTAATATGTATGTTTATGTATATATATATATATATATATATATATATATATTTAGAAAAGGATGGAAGATATCTAAATTTTTGAAAGGTAGACAGAATAGTGAGCTGGATATTCAACAATAAAACAGTTGATGTAACTCCTTGAGTATAATCATAATCTACCAGATAAACAAAGGGGAATCTAAAGAAATTAAAACATGCTAATCATTTTGATCTGTATATTTTTAATGCAATTTAAGTGTTCATTACACACTAGAATCATGATGGATTAAAACAATAAGTGAATTGATTGATTCGACTAAAAGACAAGTGCTGTGTAATACTTGAAAGTCCGTACATGATTAGTTAGGCGGGTTAAATGAAAGAAAAGAAAAAGAAGAATTAGAAGGACAGAATCGATCTCAGTAAGAAAGAATGGCAGAAATAAAACTTTATGAAGTACTTTGAAATTGAACTTTGAGGAGAGGGAAACATACACTCACACACACACACAAGGGAAGTGGGATACATCGTCCAAGCAATATCCAGAAGGACGATTTCAATACTGAAAAAGGTTTCTTTTGAAGTAAGCAGATTATTTCATCTCACCGACATTGACAGGGACTAAAAATATTCAAACAAAAATGAAATCAAATTATGTCATTTAATACTTCCAACGGATAAGCTTGTAATCACCTCTAACAAAAAGCATTAAATTTTAACCAAATAATTCTTATAACCACGTAAACGTGCTGCTATGATTTCCTAAGATGGAAAGAAAATAATTAAATATGAGATGTTGAATCAAACTAATTTTCGTCTTGTGAAAAAAATTATAAATTACTTCCATAAAAATAACAGAAAATCGATTTTGTAAACATTGTTGATCATCGGATTCGGCATCCTTGCATCGACTTTGTACCTAGAGGCCTTTTGTAAACCTTACACAAACTGAGTCCTGGGCTATCAACTGGCTGTACTCTTACTTCTCAAATAGGATGCAGTACACGGTATATAATGGAGTATCTTCCTCTCCTTTGCTTACTGAAGCTGGAGTTCCTCAGGGTGCTGTTCTCTCTCTGTTTCTCTTTTACTTCTTCTTACATGACTTACCTCTTGCAGACGAAATCAACTTCGTCAAATATGCAGATGACCTGAGTGTTTCGCTTCCCGTTAAGTCTCAGTCAGACTGCTTCAAATTAAATAGCTTCCTGTCGGACATCAGTCAGTGGTCTAAACTAAATGGCCTCATGCTGAATCCCTCAAAATGCCAGACTACTAACTTCTCCATTAGGCATAAACGAGATCTACAAACACTAGTAAGTACTCATGAAGCCTGCAGCATTGAGGGGACTAAAATTGAAACAAAGTCTAATTCAAAATACCTCAGAATAGTTCTATCTTCCAACCTTACTTGGTCATCTCATATCCAAACGATTTCCAAGAAAGTGTTCCGTCTAACCTACTACATTAAGAAACTCAGACTAACTGGAATCACTCAACCACTGCTTTTACAATTTGTCAACTCTCGTATCTTACCTATTCTACTTTACTTCTCCCCATTAGTCTTTGCTGGGTTACTGAAAAAGGACTATACTATCCTGAGAAGGATGCTGAAGATAGTTAGTAGGACTAGTGGTGTAAAACTCAGTCAGCTCGTCACTATATTAGTGGATAAGCACCTGAATACATGCGAGAAATGGTCTAAAACCATACTCTCTGACCCCCAACACCCTCTCTATTCCCGACTCTCTCCTTGTATCTCATCAGGTAGAACCAGATATCAGTATAAAATAATATATGCTCGTACAACCAAGTATAGGAACTCAACGATACCACATTTGGCCCGTGTTCTAAGTGATAGAGACAATGTTAAGCATGAAACCTATGACTTGCTTTGTTGTTAATAACATAATTTTGGCCCTTTTTATTTCCCCCTTATACTCTCTTATTTGAACTCTATGGTGATCAACTTTCTTAAGCATACTTAGCTACCTAAAATTACTATCATTGGCTTACTTTTTTATTCTTTATTCTATTCCTTCTTTTGTGTATCTACTGGGTCCGACTATATTATCACTATGAGTATTACAAAATTGTCCTGTCATTAACCATCATGTAATATTAGTTTTGTCTTTGTTTTTTTCGTTCGGTAATATTAAACTGACAATCTTGGTTGTGAACGCCGTTATACACCATCCTAAAATTTTTTGTATTATGCAGGATTACCCACACTACCACAACAAACACCACATTAGTGCTGACAATAAAAAAAACAACCTGAAATGTTTATTTTATGATTGTTTAGTTTAGTTCAATCAAATTAGCTGATCATCTTGGCTAACAACATTCTCAAGAACATCTCATAACTTCTTGTATGATTATAGCTGTTACTGTTCACCACGCATACATATATCATAGCTTCCACTACCCAATACTGAAATATTATTCATTATTTTTGTTTATGTTCCTTTCTACTTGCTATTTTTTTGCATTTTTTTTTGTTATTTTGGTGTTTTTTGTTGTTGTTTTTTATATTTATTTTTTGTAATACTTCTTTTAAATGTGCGATGAAATAAGATGCAATACTGTAGATATGCGCTGAAAATTCCACACTGTACCACTAGTACGGTTTCTGGAATAAAAGCGGAATTATTATTATTGTTATTTTTGCATATTTGTTTCTTTGAATTTAAACCCCAGTCTTAGTGAATTCATTTTCGAAATTTCAGTGCTTAGTATGACAGCTGATTATTCTATACACGTTGAGGAATGACTTCTGAAGATGTCAGTTTGTCAGAACCGATTATTAGTAGCATGTCATTTGATGGTTTTCATGAAAGACAAATCTCCTGTTGTTTCATTCACTAACAGGTATAGACTGTTAAAAATGAAGGAAATATAGTTGCGTGTTCGTATTACATTGACTCATCGGTTCTAAGAGGGTAGATGCTGCTGTTGTCATATAACACCTAATCATACCTACTAAATTTCATGTGCTGTATTACGTGCTTAGTCAGTATCTTATTTAATCTGAAAGTATCGATAACAAAACACGAAAAAAACTGAATTTATATTATTAGATAGCTAGAGGAATTTAAAGGAAGCCTTCGATTAGGGTTTCATGTTTGTTTGTCAATAAAGTGTATCCGCAGTCTTGAAAAAAACTCATGTTCCTTCTGAGATTCAGTACTATATCACAAAGTGTTGAAGTCAGAAACGTCACCATTGCTGTGCACTACCCAGGAATTGTTGTTAATAAATGATTGGGGGCAATAAACACCATGATGGCTAGCCATCTAGCATGGTGGCCACATTGTAGACTTGACTGATAGAATTCAGCCTGGAGTAAACAAAGTTAGTGTCCAATCAAAGCGGACTGAATTACTCACGAATGTACTTAAGAAGGGAATATCTTTAAATATTATAGAAGCTGGGGGTATTTTAGGGAGAAAAGTTTTGAATTTATATGACTAATAGGGTTGAGCTAGTGACTTCAAGAATTGCGATTGTCAACGTCAGCAGAAACGGAGACGTGAATTGGCACTGAAGCCTTTTCGAGTAAGTATTTGTTGATAACAGAACCTAAAAGACCTTAAGCATACGTAGGCAGGTCCAAAGTTTATTTTATTAGCTCATTTTAAACTATTTACTTCATCACTAGCTGTATTTTGGTTATAGGAAGGTGCACCACAGAAGACTCGAACTGTCCCAGGACTCGAATTATCTGAGGGAAACTGTAGTAATTAAGCAACCACGAGTAGCATATCCAAATGGTATAAATAAGTGTATTATGAACCACGACACAGTTACCAAAATTTCTACACCAAAACTATCAGAAAAGATTTTATACTGCATAGTTTTGGGACTTGGAGTAAAAGAAATAGCACATATTTGCGTTCACCTGGCGAAAGTGTCTATTTCTGACAGAACGAGTTAGTGAATATCGCTGAAAACAGAGTTCAGTCTACGCTTAGCTTTTTCAAGAAGGTATCTAGCAGTATTAGAATAGAGATGTGCCTACAGTAAATATTAACTGTACTTAATTTGATTTATTTTGTAATTACCAGTTTAAGATATATGTATTCTAATGCTTATGATTTAAATGTAAGTTGATGAAATATATACACAAGCTAAATGCTCAGTAGCAAATGTATGCTTGCGATAGTTATTTAGTCTGGATGCGATTTATCCGGACTATTTTTGGAATAATGCAAAGTCATATAATTTTTATGTGCAGCTGTGTTCATATTTAATGTTCCATAAGTTAGCAACTGAATTATTTGGTGAAGCGTCTTTATCCATATTTATGTTATTTATTTCAATGTAAGGTAGCCTTTGGATATTTCACTTTGTATAACAGTCGTGCAAAAGCCACAGCTATACATGTTGAGCTAATACGTATTCAATATTAGCCGTTCCTGACAGCAGGATGCATCAGTAGCGTAGTCATAAATGCTGCTAACACACTATATAACATATAATTACTTGAATTCAATGAAGCAGTTTGAATCACAGAATTAATAATTTCTGGTGTACAAGCTTTATCTAAAGATTGGACTAATAGAAAATGCTTATTCCTAACAAATGGCTTCGTCAGAACTTCTGTATAGTTCCTTTATTCCTTTTTACTAAGAGAGAGTAAGACTGAGATATTGTAGCAGAATGCAGTCCCTCGCTGGATACTTTATGAACTATAATTCATGAAATGTTTTCCAGTGAATGATATGCTATCTTTGTATGTTTAACATAAAAATTGTGATTTTTAAAACCCTTTATCTTCTCCTTTAGTCAATCAGCTTAGTTAAACATTGAGTTATCTGCTTGCATTCGTGATGGTCACAGAGATTTACTGTTTTTCCTCCTTCAGAGTTCGCTTAACTATACAAATAATTTTTCTGCAGTTCAGAATATTTATACATTAGCGTAGTGAGCCAAACTTTCTATTGTATTTCTTCTGTATCGAATCAATAATTTTATTTATGCTAACAACTTTTGATGTTCTCTACTATTGATTTATCGTTCGGGAGTTTAAAAGTTCGGGAGCTCTTTAGTTGAAGATTGTTTATGTTATGCGAGTATTTTCGGTACTATCTTTAGAAGAAACTCCAGTGTTAATGTGCCAAATCGTCAAGGTGTGTGTTTTTCATTTTTTTAAATGTTTACATTATTCTGTATGTGGTTAATATTACCTACTGTGATATATTTGTAAGTCAAATGGATGTTCAGCCGTTCTGTAGTTAAGCTCCTAAATGAGTGACAAGGATTTGTCATACAAAAAACAAACTATTATGTGTATAATTCAGCGTGTTCAAATTGCCTAAAGTAAGATGTACTTGTGAATGAAGAACATCTGCAAAAGAAGTTGTATTTTCAGAGAAAGAGTAATGTTTGTATTCCACTGAAGTTTGACCTTCTTACAGATCACTGATTGATAATAAAATCGTAAAAAATGTGTAAATCTAAAGAATTCAGTGATTTTTTCTTCTAGATTATTCTACCAAAGCGCATATTTCAGCTTCACTACAATAACCAAATATATCAAAGTGTAGTCATAGTAGTTTTATTGAATTTGAGATTTTCCCGTCGATTGACTGGACCAAAGTGCTCGGTCTCAGGTTGACATGTCGGCTTCTTGTGTAGATGCTTCGACGATGTCTGGGCCTTTTTGATTAGTATTTAATTGGTGGATGGTGACTAGAAGTGGAATTCAGGATAACGAGCATTTCGTCCTATTCGGGACTCGTCAGCTGGATGTACCTGCATTTCTCAGTGAGTGGTGATGTTCCCACCGAGGCTCGAACCAATTAAATACTAGTTAAAAAGGCCCAGACATCGCCGAAGCCTCTGCACAAGAAGCCGACATGTCAAACTGACACTGAGCACTTCGGTCCAATCAATCGGTGGGAAAATCTCAAATTCAATAAAAATAATATGACCCGTTGCACAGGAGGTGGGTCTCGTGGCCCAAGTAGTCTAGTGGATGACGCTTTGGCGTTGCAAACTATAGTCACTGGTTTCGAGCCTCGTTGGGAACATCATCACTCACTGAGAAATGCCGGTACATCCAGATGATGGGTCCCAAATAGGACAAAATACGCGTTGTCCTAGATTCCACTTCTAGTTACCATCCACCAATTAGGTAGTCATAGTAGGCATACAGTTTATCCCAAAAGTGCGTGACTTCGTATTCATGTAGTACAATCATACTTTAATAAGCTGAAATCAGTGCTTAGTAACTGAAAGTGACTGCGCATTAGCAGTGAGAAGATAACCACTTTTCACATGAGGACTAAGGGACAACTCACAGTTATGTAATAATTATTTAGATGGAAAACTCAGAGAATCGTTCAGGGTAGCACATAAACTTTAAGTTAAACAGTGAAGCGTTAAATTACTAGATTTCACATAGTTAGTTAAGTTTCACTTTGAAAATGTGATGCAGAAAGTTTTCTCATTAAAACTGCTTCAGCCTTTCTGATAAAAGCCAACAGATGCATAAGACCAGTCACATTTCCGATAGTGGTTATGTGCTACAATGTGATATGTGATATTTTTCTTAGCAAAGTTAAGAGACTTAAGTAAGATTCGAGAATCCAGCAAGACAGACTACTCTTCAACTGACTATATCTGAGAAGAATTTAATCATATGTCTTGAAAATACCTTCTTGAATGAGGTAGGAGTGAAGTGGCGAGAAGATGGTAGCGACTAAATAGGAGTCTAGGATCAATCTTCAGAACTACTGAATAACCCTAGAAACATAAAATCCTGATTATTTTAGTAAGTTTATTTTGCTAAAAAGAACTGGAAGTATGTTTCAGGAGGCACGAAAACATATCTATACGTTATCATGATGTAAAGTCAAAATACCTAGCGATAATGTCAAACAATCACAATCGACCATCACCAGTATCTTCGGTAAATATGACATTAGGAGCTGTCTGACAACTAGTTTACGCCCTATACACTGCATACATTCTAAATAATGTGTTGTTTAGTCATAGCAATTTCTGTTTATCTCTGTTTCTCTATCTCACTTACACGTGTACAAGATAAACAGGATTATAAAATTACATATAGGTATGATTCACTTCCCCTAGAATATGCCTACACCCCAAATACACACTCATAGTTTCTATTCACAGAAGGAAAAAAGCAAGACTAGAAATGGAACATAAAAGTGTAGTAAAGAATATAGTCAATAAACATCTGTTCAACATGATGTTCAAATAAAAATCGCACTTGTTAGTTAGAAATAAGAATACTACTACTTAATAAAGAAAAAAAATAAATTTATCATGCACATACCATCTGCAAACCTTCTGGCAATCAGTTTGAGCGCTTCATCTATAAATATGACTGGTATTGAGATCTTCATCACCATAAACCATTCCTCCAATGATAATGGAGTGATTTGGAAGACTTTCTACACGTTTTCATTGATTAGAGTAAAGAAACAGAAAAAAAGGAGAATATTTTGTATGAATATAAGTTTATTGCTCTTCTGAGTAATAAGTGATTCAACCTAACTGGTTTAGACATAATTTTACTTGCCTCTTACCTAATACATTTTATCATGCTATTGTGGTGAGAACTGTCTGCAAGCCAACATTGTAGACAACAATTTACGTCAACGTTTACGTCCCAAACCGGGATCATGAGAAAAAACAATAACAAAGCTTAACCTTAGGGAACTCGACAACCCGTCACAAAAGACTTAACATGGGCAAATACGGTTCGCAGATATATGGTCTGACTTTTTAAGAAACGGCCACAAAGAGATGACAGAGTAGCCTTGAGCAGGAAAATAACCAGTCAGAAGACGTCGCTTCTCTGTTGACAATAACGAATAATAACGTACATAAAAATCATTAAATATCTCTTGATTTTCTCAATAAAAGACCTTTTGCCTGGCCCTTGTCTCCTGTCGTTACGCCATAAGTACCTTCATAATGGCGCCAAATTGAAGTTGATGTCTAAACAGAACCTGGAACACTTTATTACGAAGACTATCAGTGGTAACCCAACGGCACTTTTGGGGTAAGTGCCTTCGTCATCAACGGTACTTTTATCCACCTATCAAGAATACTTCCTTATTATCTATACTAGTCGATCGTACAAGAATGACCGAAATATATATCTAATTTTAGTTGTTATTCAAATTTTCTGGAGTAGTTCTGTAATTAGCTCACAACACATAGCATATCTCTCGACTTTTATTTAGTAATATATGTTACGAAATATTGTTTGACAAAAGTTCTTGAGTCTAGTATTGTGGTGGTTGACAGTTGTCACCAGGATGTATTGGCAGATATGCATAAACTAATATTTGAGCTTAAATCACACACTTGTATAGCAAGACATTATCAGCAAGTGATTCAGGTCACATATAACTTTTATTTAAATTTTATAGTCTTCTGTTGTTCTTATATAATCTTATTTCTAATCTCAGCTCATGGTGAAATCATGTATCCAAACAACCAATTCCCTACAAACCAATACTTGAATATCAATGAGATGCTCACTCGTGACTGGCCCTATTCAGGTAGGTAGTTACCTGGGTTCCAGTGGGAAGTCGTGACCAGTAGGGTGCAGCTGGTCGGGTGTGAGGACAAATACTCGCCGAAGACATTGGCTAGCGGTTGCGCTATGTCGTGAATTGGCAGAAGTTGGAATTCAAGGACCATTGGATGGGGTCCCAGTGGCTTAATGGTCTACGAGCTCGGCTTGTAACCAGGAGGTCCTGGGTTCGAATCCCGGTGGATGCTTACTGTGAAAAGACCTAAACTAGGCTGACAAAACAGCTGTTTAGTGCTCCCAGGTTTTCCAATGGTTCTCTAACTAATGTCAGCTCATGATGAAATCATGTAACCAAAAATGAATTAGGCAGGAATTGCTAGGATTGAAGTCTGTGGATCAATACTCTAAAAATAACTAAGCCATTTATTCCATTGCATCTACCAAAATTACTTCATGAAGAGTGAAGCAGAATTCCTACTGTATAACATATACATTTTTATTTTTGATCTATCTCAAAACCAAAAACATAACAAAGTGTTAGATCATGAATTAATAGTCTTAAAGAGGCATGAAACACTAGACAAATTCGACTTACCGAAAGGAATTCAACCTCCAAAATCAAGAAGTGCAACGACATACTGACAACCATTGCAAGAATAAGCCAAATATTTACCCATGGTGGCATAGAGATCAACGATTGATTTTCCGATAGACTGTATTATTAAGATTGTCAACAAAATCATTACCAACAAAAACAAAATAAAACAAAATGTGAACAGTAAAAAGGAGAATCGTATCATCAGCAGTAGTCTTGAATCTGAGGAATGGGACAGTACAACTTAGAAGGATCTAACATATAAGTCATATACAGACAGAGACTCTGCATGACTGATAACTAATTTACTGACAGAAAATGAAATAGTTGAGTAAAGTAACTGTCTTAAGTATTTAATTCAGTTCGAGTGCCTATTTTCTAACAAAGTCTTGACATAGATACAAACTTTTGTTTATCATTAGATGAGTTTTCAGTTAAAAAACAGCCAAATTTTCATTTAAAACCCTAAAATCCACTAAAAGTTACCTCTGAAACGTGTTTTTTAAGGATTTAATAATCTTAAGCCTAAAACTTGATACGAGTGATTTCTACAACTACAGGGAATTTAGACGATTCATATAATAGCTTGAGACTAATCATATGATAAATCATTGTTTTTAATTACAAGAAATCCAGTCTAATTCATTAGTGTTCTTTTATGCAGAATATTTGTTAGAACTCAATTTTATGTACAAGCCTCGCTAATATTACTCGGTGATGTATTATTTCAAATCGGTACTAAACTGCCCAACGACAATGCTACACACGTCTGAGAACACGGAAGAGGTATCGGATGAGACTTACGGCCAATCACAAAAAGTAGAAAGATTTTTCAAAATGAGAAGTACACTGCTTCAAGAGATTCTTGTCGCTTTATGTCTTAAATCCGCCATAATGAATAATCTTATTGATAAGGAATTTATTCATCGGATACTACTGGTTCCTAAATGGATGCCATTCTCACCAGATATTTAAAGAAACTAGCCTTGGAAGACGTGTCGTTTCCTTGTATTCTGAAATTCCAATTTACAAAGTAAATAATACCAGGCGTTTCCGACCTCTAAATCTGGTTCGTCTAATTTTTAACACATTTTTTCCCCTTTTTTTCCTTGAAAAATGAGCACCAATGTATATTTTGGAGAAAATTCCATCTAATTTTCATTGTAGTCACGGTCGACTGTCTTTAACTTCTTTTAAATAATAAAGTGCTATTTAGACAATAAATACACTTCATTCATCACTGTTCATACGAATGGACACTGAGTAAGAGCTCTCCGATGGGAAAACAGCTGAATAGACGCTGTATCTGGGTTTTATAAACATAGTTTTTCATATCCTTTTCTGCCTGTAACTAGAAAGACTTCGATAAAGGCTGATTTTTTTTAACTGTTTAATTTATGATGTCAAATTCCTACCATATAAACTACGTGTTTAATAACAGCGGTAGGGTGAAGAAGTCTGACTGACTGAGTTTCAATATAGAACTTTGCTCAGATGTCCTGCAGTGCAAATCATCACACTTCGTGTAGAACACACAAAGGCAGACAAAAAAAGATTCAGAAGAAATATAAAAAGCAGAAATCTAAAGGAGGAAGAGTAGCAACACAGAAAAACATTAGGTTTCAAAGTATATAGGAGATTACAAAGAGTAAATCCATCTGCAGCATTATTAACGATTTTAACCCATATCACCAGTTGTCTCCAGGCAGTGGTACTTAACATCCTGAGATTACCAGTCAGACAGTCTACACCTCCGTATATGGTTAAAATCAAGAACTTTATGGTTTGATATCACATTTTGACTTGATCACCCCTAACTCTCTTCCAACCTAATCCTATATCAGTTAACAATGCTCAATGAAGAAAGTAGTGGTTAGGTATGCGTAACACGTGTTCTAGTTATCTCAGTCGATAGTAGCTACGGTTATAAATGAAAGTAGATTCACCCTCAAGTAACGGTCTGTTTCTAAGACTCACGGTCATTTATGTATTCTGATTTATTCCCTGTTGAACTGATAATTAGTTCAGTGGCGTTACTGTTTTATCGTCTTAATATACATAAGTTTAAAAGGTGATAATACAAATCTTTAAAGTGGTATTCACTAAATAAATAAAGCTGGAAAATAAAAGGAAATAGAAAATCCTAATGCTTAGACTTGACAACCTAACACTATCCTGATTTATATTTGCTTACATGTCCCTGTAAAATGATTTTTTTAGGGGACAAAACTCATATGACGAAATTATGTCTTGCATATATGTACATAATATGCGCATATGAGAAAATAATACAACATGCTTAAACAAACAACGCTGTGGATTACTGAGTAGGCCGCCACTATGATTGTCTTTGTTAGTAATATGAATGTTCAAATGTGTATGTGTATGTATAAGCATAAACAACTTCTGTAGAATAAAATACCTACTAGTTCAGCCGAGCAAAGGGGCTTCTGTTATTTTTCTAATCAAAGAATCTTAGTGGCAGCCTACTACAGTAATAAATAAGGGCTCCACGGTGCATACATCACACACGTTACACTAAACGGTTGTCTTTATTTCCCTAACCTATTTTTAGTTAGAATTATGCATTTCCATATGCACTACTAGCAAAACTAGAAGATATAGGAAGAATACTGCAACAATTCGAATTGAGCAATCAACAACATTACCACCCTAGGAGCCCCTTTGTTCAGCATGAAATAGCAGGCAAAAAGAAATAAAGAGATTGGAAGAAAGACAGTTACACTGCATGCAAAATTTCACACATAAATAACATGCTTCTTTGTATTTCGTGCTGGCAGAGTTTTGTTTGATTTCTATGTGTGTGTTTTTTTTAGTAAATTATCATTCGATCTGAATCCATCGAAAGATTCATTGTGTATCAGATTGTATATGTGTGTTCATTTGTGTGTGTGTGTGTGTGTGTGCGTGGATGTGCATGTGTTACGTGGACGGCCTACTCACCTGTTCATAGCATTCAACATCTCAATGAGAACCAGCACAGACAAAGCCATAGTCATAGGTTTTGGATGAGAAAATATAGCACAGTCTACTCCCTCAAAACGAGATTCTTGTGCTAAACACTGAGATTGATGAGTCTATTTTCAGGAGAAAATAAAACAGAATAAACAATACTTTTACAATGAACGCATAAATATTATGCAAAATAAAAATACCTGTTTAAAGCGTTAAACATTTCAATGAGTACTAGAACAGATAATGCCATAGTCATTGGTTTGGGATTTTCAAAAATATGACAGTCAATTCCATGGAAGTTTTCTTTTTCTGCCAAACATTGCATGTGATGCGTCTAAGAATGAAAATTATAATCAGCAAATTAAGCATAAAAAGTAGTTCTGATAAACAGATATTTTTCTGTCAAGATGCAGCTGATTTATTCCTGATTCTTTCGGAAAACAGAATAAAGGTTATAAAGCTCTGTGGTAATTCACTGATTCAGTCGATTATAGTGGTCGAAAGATTGTGGATCTTTTCACATGTGTGTTCACATACAACAAACTAACTAATCTAGTCCCAGTAATGGTTATATTAGGTATATTAGTGAGGAAAGGCATGAGTAGCCCAAAAAACATAATGATCGTACTTAAAATCCTAAGATTAAGATGACTGTCACTTCATAAGCTAGACTGAAGTTTACTGATCAGTGTAAATGCATTAACTATTTTCAGGTCCAAAGAGTACAAATGTTTGTCACACAATATGTAGTAAATTGAAAGATGACAACTTGCTTTCAAATAAAGGCCTTGAACCAAACTATTCGAGAGAAATCAAAATAATTTTCAACAGAAACTAACTGGGGAAGCAAACTGGTGGCCAGTAAGTGCATTTAACGATTGCCTGACTATATCGAAAATTGGTCTGAATATCTATGTTTCAATTCTTGAAATGATGGGGAAGATTTCTAACTCGTGTAAACATAGATACGCTATTATGTTGTCTGAGCTTGGTGGATTTTTCTCCAGTTCTTCCAAACACCCACCAAAAGACAACATTTTCAGCTGTAGTTTAGCTTGAATTCCAGCTAAATAGCTGAATATAGAAAGAAAAAAGCCTCCCATTTTGAACTACTGAATGCTAATCTTCTATTTACTAGACCTTTATTTTTTCATAAGTTTCACTTCTGATTGTGGTGAGTTATACGACCATTCCACCATCAGCATTACGTAGGATACTATTCTTATTATTCATGCTTTACACCAATTCATCCAGATTCTCCTGATAGATTTTACCGTTTACGATTAAACCTACGTTCTAGGACGCCATTTGTGAAATACTTTCATCGCACATTTTGTGACAGTTTTTCATTTTTATAGTAAAAAGTTCACTATATAAATCCTAAATTCTCTTGTCAAAAATCTTAATGATCATATTTTTCCTCAGCTTATATTGATGTATCTGTTGCCAGAATGTCGGATAAACAATACGAAACACCCCACAAATTTCCATCTACTTTCACTGATTTTATATAAAATTATTACCATTACAAGGTCGGTAATTGGTATATTTAAGTGATGCTAAATGTCGCTTAGGTGACTTGAATCCTTGAACTATCAATATATAAGGTGATGACCGGAAATAACTACCACTGGAACAGAGAAATATAAAGTAGGAAGGCCACGCTGATGGCTGAGAAATGAGCGACCTGCAAACGTACGCTTCACTCAGAAATCCGTTGCAAGAAGAATTCATCAACTCTGATTTCACAAACATCTGGTGTCAAGAATAAGGCTTAGGCATTTGGAGGAATATGTACTGGGTTCAATTCTTAGTTGGACCCTAGCCCTAAAATGCTTAGTGCAGATATACCTACATGGTAATTTCAGAAGTGTAAGAAACATAATCTGTGGAGTTCATTAATAGTTTTCACAGACGAAAGAGTTAGAAGGAATTCCAATTTATCCGGTATTTTTACAGTGAGTCTACTTCAGCCAGGTATTTTAAAATTTGCAACAGATAAAATTGCTGGTTATTCGTTCGATAACTAGTGAATCAAACACAATAAAAAATGCAGACTTCACTCATATAGAGTCATGTATGTACCACCTGAGTTTTATATAAACACAAGATGAGTGTTCGATTCTCTTAAAATCCGGTATCAAGTTATGCATTTATGGATTACATCATTACTTGAATGAATTATTGTCGTTTTATGGTAACGTTTGATTTAAAACTGAATAATTGCGTCAATTGACTATTATAGTTTAGAAGAAACTTTGAGTAAGTACATGGACTCCAAAGAAAAATGAAGGGTGAATTACCAGATGATAGTCGTTCTGATAATTGCTACTTTATTCATATCTTACATGATATTTAAAATTCACCTTCTAGATTCAACTGAAGCCAGTTTACAGTTGTAAATAGTGAACTCTACATTGTTAAGGTTTAGTGTTGATAGGAAATTGCCTAAACATCCAAAATGGGATGGTTCTCAATGTTTAGGATTATATGCAAAAATGGGATGCCAGTCGAAGACACTTCTGTATTTTGATTGAACGTTCAGATGAAACTTGATACCATAGAAGCGAAATATTTATTCCGTAGGGTACACTTTTTATAATCACTGTGTAAAGTTAAAATATGTGGTCACGGAAATAATGCCTGCAAAACCTGACTTCTCAGAAATGATGATGTCAGGCGCTTTACCACTGCCTAGACCTGGTGGTAAGACTATGCAAGTAACTCTAAGGTCTGAAGGAGCGTGCGTGAACAACATGGAGATCCTTTTAACAGTTGTCACGCTGTTGGTTATTAACTAGCCATAGAACTAGTCGAACAAAGTGTTTGGTGATAAACTATGGGTCACTGAATGACGTCTGAGATATTATATGGTTTAGCATCTCAGGAAGTTATCATACTTTGATCGAAATCGAAAATAACACGAATATGCCTAAGTCTTTTCGTTTCTTCTGCTACAGAAAGTGAAATGAATCAGTAAAGGCTAACGTGATTGTATGTGGTAATTATGATGGCCTATTTCATTATGCTCTTCCTCCAGTTGCCTTATTCTTTCACGTATAAAACTAATAAACCACTTAATCCGCAAAATAAGCGGTCTGGTCACTAAGCTAAACTGCATAATGCAACGACGTGAAGCGTTGGTCATTCGTGAAGTGAATGATTTGGTGTTAAAGTTCCTCATTTTGTCAGCGAGAAATGTGATTTTTAATCTTAGACGGAAGTACGTTTATTCATGGTTTCTGATACTTCGTATTCGTACCTCCTAGGATATACACAGACAAGTGCAGCAGATTTTGCTCCTTAACTAAATTGGTATACGATGTGTAGCAGTGTAATGTTACAACCCGATAACCACAGACCAAATTTTGTACACGGGCTTTGCTCAAAACATGAGCAGATAAAGAGAGTAATTACAATCCAGCAATAAATGGGAAGTAAACTTAGGTCAATTCAGAAGTTTTGTCTCGTGAACGAGTAGCACTTTGAAGTATTTACAGGAACTAACATGTAGTAGTTTATTAGAATGTATGTATTACTTGGTTTGTCGTACTGTTTAGGAAATTCCATTCGTTCAACTTTAGGAAAACAAACAGTGACAATAAAATACATGCTGATGTGACTAACGTAGGAACATCTGGTAGGTAAAATAATCAGTAAATATCTTTTGTAGACAAGTTAAACTCCATGCAAGTCTAACGGTATAAAGGTTAGGCAAGTAAGTGATGCGTCGGTGGCACAGTGGTAGAGTGCTCGTCGACCACTCAGGAAACCGGAGTTCGATACCCGGCCGACGCACTCCCAAACCTCTCTAAACCAGAAATAGAAGCTGGTAAAGAAGGTTGGGCATGAGGCTAGTAACCACATCCTGTAGAAATAATCACCACTGCTACAGAAACTTCAAGCCTCTAGCTTGAAGCCCTATGTTCCATATGGGAACGTAAAAGAATAAAATTAAATTAATTAGAAAGCAAGTGATACAAAAATGTTTGCTGACTAGAGACAAATAAAAAATGACAGACTAAAATGAAGACATAAATTTATAACTCAGTATCTCCTAGTGGCTCCAACCACTTCTAACTAACCAGTTGATAGTAGTTAAGTTGTGGTCCTTTAGCATAAAGACTGAACCACCAGGCAGCAGCTCCAACCGTAGCACATCCAACGTAGACACCAATAGCAACATAACGGAAGAATAACCACCCAGAAATTAAAGGATCTTTAATATTTCTTGGTGGACGATCCATAATGTCCAAATCAGGGGGATTGAAGCCTAATGCAGTAGCTGGTAACCCGTCAGTTACTAAGTTGACCCATAAAAGTTGTACTGGAATCAAAGCTTCAGGTAGACCCAGAGCAGCAGTAAGAAAGATACTGACAACTGTTGGAAACAAGAACAATATTAAAAATCACTTTAATTGTCATAGCAATTGGTAAGAGAATATCCTATTCATTCATATAGATTATACATTTCTAATAGTTTAAATAATTTTCATTTTTATCATATATCCTATGTTAATTGTCACTGTTCTATAAATAAAGACTTCGGCATCACTGCGATAACCCAAAAGACTTCATGGTCTTGCATTCTATACTCAAAAGTAATTATTCTCGTTCACATAGTTGTGTAATTATAAACTTTATTTTGCTTATTTAGAGTTCATTGAAGTGATGAGAAGAGATGAACATTCCTGAGGCAAACAACACCATCCTCTCATAGGGGCATTTTTAAGCAGCTTAAAATCCCCATTGAGTCATATGAAAAAGAGAAGACGTTCAGCGAAGAGACTCTTTTCACCGGCGAATTCATTCACATAGCTGTACAATCGCATTTATATATAATTATTTGTGTGTGTATGTGTGTACATGAGGTTTGTCAAGTTTAGATAATTGATCAGGTAATACAAGAATAATCTAATATAGAAACAAGGTTAATCGGACAACAACTAAGATTGAGTTAGTAAGTTAGATGACGTAACATAATGGACTAAAATGTTTCAACTTAAGTCAGGGTAGCAAGAGAGGTAATTACAGGTAGAGACTAAGTAGAGGTGAAATAGAGAATAATGCCATTTAAATTAGAACTGAAATTGAGCAAATTAGTCGGATGACGTAACATAAATGACTAGAATTTGAACGTTGGTCAAGTCAGTAACAGTGTCAGCAGTGAGGTGTAGAAATTAAATCGAGTGGGGGTAGAGAACATAAAAGTTGAAAATGTAAAATATTACAATTGAGAAGACGAAATAATACTAATGAAGAGGCAGACAGAAAAGAAAGATTAGGTAGAATTTACTTGTCGGGTAATAAGATTGATTACGTCCATTGCAAGTATAGTGATTGAACGGACTTCTTCTTCATGCAGAGTTCGGGGCTTAGCAATTGAATCACCACTGCTTCTGCTTCCTGGGTTCGAACATCGGTGGGTCCGTACTGCTGGTCAACAGAAGACTGAGTACACCACTAGCCACAGCCTATACTGCAGCTAAGTTGGCTCCCGTCTATCAGATAACATGATCCTTGCTGCAGTTAATAGTCGACATATACACTTCTCATGTCCATTCCAACTGTGTATACAAATATACATGTATCTACAACAGCAGTTACATTGGGAAAACAGAGACAAGGGTACACCTCCAATTTTCTGAACATGCACCAAAATGCCTACCTCTCAAGGGAATGAATGCTTACAATAGTGATATTACCATTTATCTTCTTGATATGGGTCATGAGGAGGAAATTGCCTTTAAAATTATCAATAGACAAACAGCTAAGTTATCCTCAAATTTCCCTAAGCAATCTCTATCAGACGACTGAAACCCAAACTGTATGTTCAGAAAGAAGCAGTTATCAGTCTTTCCTTGTCCTGGTAACTGGGTGTTTTTATTCTGTCTTTAATTTGATTATGTAATCTGTGACTTCAACTTCACCCCCTTTGGTACGGTGTAAGTTCGCTTGTCTCTTGTTTCTATTATTTGAATTGAACTCAGTATATTGTTATCTAATTTATTAGTCACCAAGCATCTTACGCTGTATCACGTGACTCCTTTACCTCTGTATGCATACATTTATTTTGCTTCAACTTGAATAGCTTGTGTAAAACATATATAAGCGTAGTTTTTTGGGCACTGTTCACTATAGCATAGTCTCTAGTTTAGATAAAGGAGCTAAATACGTTCGCTGTGCCTTCCTTGATTACACATCTGCATTTGACTCTGTTCCCAGGTCTCTCTTGCTAAGTAAGCTTGCTGCAACACAGGCTGAAAGCTGGACAAATAAGTGGTTGCATTCCTATTTTTCTGAAAGGAAGCAGTACACCGTCTACAATGGAAAATCCTCCACTACCTCACTTACTTTAGCTGGTGTTCCTCAAGGTGCTGTTCTTTCTCCCTTTCTGTTCTCGTTTTTCTTACATGACTTGCCTCATTCTGATGTAGCCACTTTTGTTAAATATGCCGATGACCTCTCGGTTTCTATGCCTGTCAACTCTCAGTCAGATTGTTCCAAATTAAATAGCTTTCTGTCGGAAATTAGTCAGTGGTCCTCTTCAAACGGACTTAAGCTTAATCCGTCTAAATGTCAGGTAGTCAATTTCACTTTCAGACGTAAATGTGACCTACAGCAACTAGTTAGCTCACATGGCCCCACTCTCATTGACGGCACAGAGGTTGAAAATACATCTTATGTCAAGTACCTTGGGCTGAGTTTTTCCACCGATCTTTCCTGGTCTTCCCACATCTTGCTAGTTACTAGAAAGATGTTTCGCTTAACGTTCTACATTAGGAAATTTAGGCAGTCTGGCATAAACCAGTCTTTACTTTCTCAGTTTGTAAATTCTTGTATTCTACCCATCCTCCTTTACTGCTCCCCATTAGTCTTTCCTGGACTACTTAAGAAAGACTTTGCTTCGCTGAGAAGGGCACTAAAAGCTGTTAGTAGGGCAAGTGGGATATCGTTAAACCAACTGGTGAACACTATTGTAGATAGACATATTATGTCATGTAAGAAACTAGCGAATACAATATTGTCGGACCCCGAGCATCCTCTCTATACGCATCTATCTCCTTGCATTTCATCTGGAAGAACTAGAAGCAGCTATAGGAGGCTATATGCTAGGACTACCAAATACAAAAAGTCCACAATACCATATCTGGCACAGCTGTTATGTGATGAGAAATCCGTTAGGTATGACACGATAAACTTACTGCAGCACTCTAACAAATAGTCTCATTAGGTTTTCTTTTCCTTTCCTTGTTACTACTACACTGTTGTTCTCATCTACTACCACACATCAACTTTATATTTCAAATCCTGTGGTGCATTGTTTGAAATGAAATACTCTACGCTGTTTTTTTTCTTAATTTTTAATATTTATTTATAACTTATTTATTTTATTTTTTATTTATTTATCTCTGATTTTTAAAAATCTTATATAATTTATGAGGTAATTAGATGCAATATACTGTAATGCATGCTGAAAATTCCATACCTGTACCACAAATACTGTTTGGAATAAAGCTGTTATTATTATTATTATTAATTTCGGAACCTCCTGTCAACTGACACAATGCAAAATTTACAAGTATGTTAAAAGCTTTCTGTACGTAAATTTAGTAATTTATTTAGGATGTAAGCAGCTGATAAGAAGTCAACGAAATAAATGATGGTACCATGTTATTCTACAAAAACTGCTATTCTTCCTTTATTCAGATTCATAAAGAGGAATACATGCATGAAGTTTCTGAAAAATTGCCTCCTCACAGAATCTTTCAAATCACTGAATCATTTTTTATCATCAAAATCACGACAAGATAATTTATAATGCACTACCTAAGCTTACCTTCACCAATATTTGATGAAATTAAATAGCGAATAAATTGTTTCATATTGTTATAAATAGCTCGTCCTTCTTCAACAGCCAGCACAATTGAATTGAAATTATCATCAGCCAATACCATATCAGCTGCTGATTTAGCTACAGCTGTACCACTTCCCATAGCAATCCCGATTTCTGCCTTCTTGAGTGCTGGTGCATCATTAACACCATCTCCAGTCTTTTTTGGAAGAAAATAAATGGGAGTAAATTTTAACTTTATGCTCAGAAATGTAAATACTTATACGTGAATAGTTTCTATTACTGTCGAATAGTTTATTACCGGTAATAATAGGAGGAAAGAAGATTACAAGCTTTACTAAATGTAAAATCTTGAGAAAAGTTGTGATGCTGTCTATACTGTCACACGCATCCCATGCACATCAGTCCCACTGATTCTAACCCACTGTGACATAACAGAAAAATTTAATATATATATATATAATGTTCATATTATGGACAGTTTGGATTCTGATTGATGTATGTGTCCTTGTCACATATTTCCTAAAAGAATACCAAGCAGTTCATAGTTTAATGCACAATTAATCGACTTAACATTTCTAAACTACTAGTGTGGTGAGAGCAGGCTGCTAGCCGATTGGTTGGCACTAATCTACGTTAAGGTCTAGGTCACTAATATGGGCCGTGAGAAAATATGAACAAGCCTGAGTCAACAACCAATCACAGCAAAGTTAACGTGGCAGAATATGATTCGCAGAGAGAACTCTATTTGTCAAGGAATCCCGAAACAACCAATCAGAAGCCTGCGTTTGTCTACCTAAACAACCAATCAGATGACTGCGCTTGTCTATAATAATGTAGTTGAAAGATGTATAAATACGTGTTGATTTTCATAATAAAAAGATCTGTTGCCTGGCCCTTGTCTTCTGTTGTTACACTAGGAATATAGAGTATTTATTATCATTTATTCATAATAAAACGACTTTCTTGGAATTTTTTTCAATAGCAATATCTATTCTCCATAGAAAAACAGTAAATATCCTGCAGACCTTGACCCTAGATGTCATAAATAATTAAGGTATAGTTGTTTTAAAGACAAATGATATGGATATTTGCTGTCGCTTATCTGTTCTAAGCATATAATGATTGTGTTTTTACGTTAAGAGCATTTTGAATGAGTCCTTTAGGTCATCAAACATCGTTTTGTATACTAAGTGAGCTTCACGTAGAGAAATTCCCATGGAAAATGTTTCTAAACAGAAGATAAACACTTAGTCACTGTGGATATTAGCTTGGGACGAAATCTAGGGTATGTGCTCTGCTTCAAATACAGTTTTCTACATAGACACAAATGCCATCTATATTCAAACGTCGATACCTGAATAGGACTAAGTGAGCACTCTGGATTCCACTGCTAAAAACAAAATAATGATTGCCTCCTAATGTTACGTTTTCTGATGAAGCTAGGGGTAGCGAAGGGGAAGGTTTTCTCCAGAATCTCTCAAAAGAAAAAATAGTTGACCTCAAGAGGTCACTGAGAGGATTTTAAATGGTTTCCTGCTTGACTGTGTCTTTATCCCTATAGGCTGGTAAATTCAATAGCCCCTGAACTAGTGATGGTACCTAGCTCCTCAGTTTCACTGAAAAGTTTGGAAATTATAAAACGAATAACTTTATTTTTCAACTCACCATGGCAGATACTTCACCATCCTCCTGAAGGAACTCAACAATCTTACTCTTATGCATAGGCTCAACACGTGCGAACAGTTTCGCTCGTCTACATGCTTCTCGTTGTTCTTCAATAGGCAGTGAATCGAATTCACGTCCAGTGAACGATTTTCCACTTGTTGGTTCATCTTCTCCAAAAATACCAATACGGCGACAAATAGCTTCAGCTGTCGCCTTATTATCACCAGTTATCATAATAACACGAATACCAGATTTACGGCATCTAGCGATACTGTCGAATACTTCCATACGAGGTGGATCCAACATACCAACCACTCCGACAAATGTTAAATTTTGCTAAACAAAAAGAAATCGAGACCAATACAATCTACAATTCTGATAATTCCTAAAGTTTTCCCATCAATCTGTCAAATGTTGTATGAGTACCAACTAAGCATTATTGCAATGTTTCAGGAAAGTTTGATGTAAGTTTACACTGTCAAAACATAATTCCTAGAAGTTCTAGAAGCTACTTAAAAGCAATATTATATATAGTTAGAAACTTTACAAGGTAAAAAAAACTCCAGTGAAACACTGGTATATTTGAACATTCACTTGCTTCAGGAATCCAGACAGAAAGCCTATCTTTTATAGTATGCTAATTTTGCATATTTTGATCATTGTAACAGTGAAGAGATAAAGGTCGGATCTGTTACGGCATCACGATGGCATTTCATTTGCAAACATATTCCTCAGAAATGTCATATGCTTTAAGAGATCAGTTTACTCAAGAGGAGTAGGTCAGCACTGAAGCATTACCACCAATTTTTACATAGAATGAAGTTACAAATACTTTGTGATAAACCGTGAAACTATGAGAAGAATGTTTTATCAGTTTGTCAATTTTTCTATACCATCTTGTATATATAACTTTAAAGATTTGAAAGTCAGTAGCACGTACTTATGATGAAGACCTATGAATCAAACATCTCTTCTACCAGAAGTACAAAATGAATAAGTCAATAAGATCTAAAGGAATAGAAATGGAAAGAGGAGACAATTTTTATCTTCCCAGTGGCACTAATTTATTACATAACTTACTTCATATCTAACGAATTTAGCTGCATCTTCTAAATCCATTTGCGCTTTGTTAACCGGTTGATCACATGTTGCTAAGGCCAAACACCTAAGTGTGTCACGACCAGTTCCATAGGCTGCTACATTTTTGACAATTTCAGCTTTCAAAATCGGTGTCATAGGAACTTTCTTATTACCAACACGTACAAATGTACACCTGTCCAATACACCTTCAGGAGCACCTTTAACAAACATTCTAGGGCCTGTTTCTCCTGAACCCGAAGTATTTGGGATTTTAGATGTAAATGTCGGTTTAGCTTGTAAGTAGACAGACATAGATTTTCGATCACGTGAAAACTCCAAAGTAAACTCTTTATTCCACATGCCCTAAAGTGATAAAATTAAAAAGAGATCATGAAATATCATGAGTTAAAGACTACATATCTGCGACTGAATAAAAATGGCGTCAATGGAATTATAATTCAAAATAATAATGACATTTCTGATGGTGCCTATATTTTAAGCCAAAGTAAACACATTGAGTTTACGGTTGAACTGAACACGCTGAAATCTAGCTCATTTTTTTATTTTTAAGTTACTTAAAACTACCGCACAACTTCAGAAACGCATACAACTTTATCCTTGTCATGATGGCAATCTATCTACAATTATCTAATTTTAGTTAAGCACATCTTATTTCACTGCAAGACATCCTCACGTAGGCTAATCAAACTTTTTGGAAGTATTTTCAACGATCACAGTTAGTTTATTAGTTTCGATGGAATTCTGTCAACTAATTTTCTGTTCTGCTGTATCTTTGACGTAATCACTTTATTGTGTGACTTGTAACAGAATCAAAAGAAATTTAAAATTAAACAATTACTTTCGTGAAAACCATCCACCTTCGTAAATGAAAAGATAGACAATGATACGGCACTTTCTTGAAACTTACTGATTGTAAACACCTTCAAATCAAGAAAAATTTCAATCCTCTACATGAAGTTTTATCATATATTTATATTTCCAGTTCACCGTTTAGTGTTTTTTCAACCTGATCATTGCAAGATCCTTTTTGAACTGATTCAATAAGATGCACTCTACTGAATAGTGCAAAATCAATAAATCGGATGACTATTAATTATTTCTTAATGCTTATCGAAAACCAAACTAATTATATTTTACATGAGTCGTGAATTCCAAGATGAGTCAAGTGATGTGTCAACAAACTAATATATTTTTTAAAAATTTTGATTACAGCTTGATGCCACACCATATTTTCGGTACAAGTATGGAATTTACAGCATGTTATATCCGTAGCCCAAATTTCGCAGGCCAGCCATAGATATCGGGTGTGTACGTCGGCTGGGGACTGAACCCCAGACCATGTGTATGGTAGGCGAGAGTCCTAACCACTGTGCCACCGAAGCACAGGAATACTTTGTAATAATTTATTTTACACCGGAATGTAACATAGCGAATGGAACTCTGATGTAGTCTTTACAAACTTTAGTATCTTGACTGAGTATGTGGTACTTACAAAGTGTTTGTACATCATGAAACAGTTGTTAACCATCCTCTCCTCTAAATGCTACAAATGTTTAAATAATCAGCAAAAATTTGTCTCCTTTCAAATTAAAAGTATTCTGTTAACTTAAATAACCATGAACAAGGCATTGAGAAGACAAATTTCGCGAGATGATATCATTTCGTAGTTTCTTTACAGCCGCTTTACAACTAACATGGTTAACAATGATAAAATAAAGTTCATGAAAATTATTCAGTTAAATAAAAACAAAAGTACATACTAATGACCAATCATATTAAGATAGGTCATGCGGTCCAGGGTAGGCGAAGATTGAAGTCTATTGATTTTTGTACTACGAAATGATATCATCTCGCGAAATTTGTCTTCTCAATGCCTTGTTCAAATTTATCAAAGGGACTAATTGTTTTAAATAACCATATTTGTGCTTGAAGATATCCCTAAGTGGATTTGATTTGCCAGATGGACACTGCAAAAACCAATGAAGCTTTATTTATGTAAAATTGTACAACGTGTGTGTTTATTTTTTTTTTACCTTTTCCCACAGTTTTTATCACAACCTTTTAATCTGTACATCCTCCAATGTAATTAAATTAACCTACAAGTGTGTCTCTATAGAGTTGAGAGTTTCAACAGATTGTTTGCTGTTTCCCTGCCATTTTGAATCCTATACAACAATTTGTTCTTGTTAGATTTATGACAATATTAGTGGAAATTGATGTATGACTGACTAAACAAAGATCAGAATTAGGGTAAACAGTGTGCGCATAGAAGTCACACAAGTAGTTAACTACATTTTGCACAAAATTGGTTTATTCCATAATGATTTACTAACCAACCACCTTATGGTTGGATAGATTTTTTACTATTAGGTAATTTATTATTTATTGATAGGCACTAAGTAGTATGACAGCTGTTAGCTTGCTTTTCTAGAGAAAGGTAAAACATAACAAATTAGGTAGCTGCATTTTCAGTATGAAAAGCTTCAAATGAAATGAGAATTCTATCTAGTATAGGAAGCAATAAAATGAGATAGGGACTGAAGGTTTATCTTCCTGTTTGTAAAGCACTCACATTAGCAAATATGGGTTATTTTTCAGTGGTGTATTTACCTAGGCTGAGATTATTTCATGAAATAGCTTCCGATGGCGAATTATTTGTTACCCATCTATTTTTTAGATTTCACATATGTAAAGGTAGGTAGAGTTATGTTACATTCGGTTAATTGCACGGATGTTTCTTATACTTATCTGTGAGGAATAAAGCACTGGGGAATTCAATACACATAAATAATTTTCGCCTTTTACTAAGCGAATAGCTTTTTTATTTCGTAGTAGATTTCACTGTAGTCTAAGACCCCTCAGAAAAACTCATTGAGGAGATCACAAAGGGTCAGACACTGAACCTAGGTGGTCACACATGGAGCAAAATTTTCAGTTGGCCTCTGAGTTGGAGGTAACCGCTTCAGAATTTAAAATAACGTTATAGTTCCCCTATCATTCAATGTCGTCAGTAAGCATTTGACCTAAATTCCAGTCTGGGGTACCTTACTGGTCAGAGCTTCTACATATATATCTGTCATTTAAACTTCAAATGAACTGATAGATGCAATGTGAAGTAGAGTCAACAGGATTGCCTTCTTTATTTGTAGCCACAGGTAAGATAAACACATATAGACCAGAACTAGTGGAATGTTCTAATGTCACTGAAGAAGTTATTTTTTCAAGCGATTAATCGATCAAACATAAAATCGAAATGAACTTATACATAACACGACTCCATCATCATCCACCGAGAAAAATTTATTAATTAACAGTTAACACGGAAATTTCGGTGGCACAGCGGTTAGGACGCTCGCCGACCGTGCACATGGTCCGGAGTTCGATCCCCGGCCACGGAGGCACTCCCTTACCTCGCTAAGCCAGAAATAAGGCTGGTAAAGAGATAAGGTTGGGCATGAGGCTAGCAACCACATCCTGTAAAATTAAACACTGCTACAGAAACTTCAAGCCACTAGCTCGAAGCTCTATGTTCCACTGGGAACGTGAAGGATATAAATAAAAAACAACACGGAAATAAATTTCACGTACTAAGTAGTCAGAGTGCATCAATGTAAAATGTAAAATTCCTTAAATCATTACCTGGATTTGATGATTGCACACCATGCTTAAATCCTTCTTCGATAAGCCTGACTTCGATGTCTTGTATACATTCATTTTTTCAACTAAACAGCTCAATGCAGTCTCTGTAGCTTCACCGACTTTTTCATAGACATGTTTACTTTCATTATAATCAATAGCCGAGTCATTGCACATGGCACAAATATGCGCTAATTCGACAAGACCTTCATATTCTCCACATTCAATTTTTTGACCATTTAAAAATCTGTATAAATAATAATAACAGAGATAATTTCAGCACTTTGAAATATTGAATAATTTCTAAAGCATAAATCAACTACTTAAAAGTAGTACGTTTTATCTCCAAATAAACATGATTTTGAGTAGGAGTTATTATTCTTTGGTGTTTCAATAAAAATAAGGATGTCAGTGGTGAATAGTACACAGCCTTCTGACTGACAGTGTATCGTCTATATCTACCCTTCTATCAGTTGCTCTGAAGTAACTTTCTTTTCAGAGTTTATCTGTCTTCAAGTGCTAAGGTAACTTCTATACGATAAACAAATGGTCGTGTAATGCAATGCAGCGTTTATTATATCCTCTTTCATTTGGTCAAATACTTGTAGTTTGTGGCATTTCCTATTTACAATAATGCTTTCGAACAAGATATATTTTCTTTTTTTTTTAAAGGTGCTAACTACGAAACATATAGATGTTCATTATATAATATTTGAAGGATTCATTATTCACCAAGTAAGTGCAATTGTGGATAAAAGCTCCACTCAGATTTCAGATTTTCGGCCTTATGTTAAATAGAATGTGTTACATTTAGTTTCGATGAAATACGCAGCCTAATGTGAAATGATCATTTCGTAAATAGGAAATATAGTCATTAATTGCAGAAAATGGAAGTATTCATAGATTCTTGATCTTAAGTACTGTTAGCACCGTTTTCTTATATTGAAATCACAAAGTGGCTTATTTTCATCTCAGATTTAATTTGCAAAATATGGAAGACTGGCTGACAAATCAGAGTGATTAGGTCCACTAACTCAGGCTACTGGCATATATTTTGAGAATCCTGCGCATCTCTCCAAAGCAAGAAAACATCTAGAGGTAGTTCTGAGCTGCATACAGAGGCTTGTAGTAGCTCTTTTAGGATATGCAGGGTAAAACATAAAACTGCTTTTGTAGAGCAGAGTGCCTGGCGTAGTGATATGAATGTATTCACCTTTTGTCACTTTTAGAGTCCAAAAAATCTGACTAACTTAATACTAACTCTCTTTTTTCATACTCCTGTAAAATATATCACCTTGAAATGATGCATTTCTCAACAAGTTTTCACTCATTTGTCTGCCTACATGATTATATAATGGTTCGTAGAATTCGCATAGGAAAACTGACTTTATTGTTTATGCAAGGGAAACATGCCGTACATCGGAACTTCTTATCGAATCAGGTCCTCACAATTTCCTCCTCTTGTAACGTTTACTCTCCTTTAGGATTTAGACTTTCCAGAAAGAAACGTTTTCGCAGTAACTTACAGTCATGTTAACCTCATTCTTCGGTGTATTATTGTGAACTTCATGTAATAGAAAGAATATAGAAAGCTTTTTCTTTACTTACACTTCACCTTCTGGTGCATATTTAGATCCAGTTATTTCAAAATGATTTAATTCGGCGGACTTATCATCAGCTTTTGAAAATGTGAACATTCTACAAACACTCATTTGATTCGTTGTTAGTGTGCCTGTTTTGTCTGAACAAATTACACTGGTACAACCTAGTGTTTCAACTGATGGTAGTGAACGCACAATTGCATTTTTAGCCGCCATTCGACGTGTACCCAATGCTAAGCATGTAGTTATAACTGCTGGTAAACCTTCAGGGATAGCAGCAACTGCCAATGCAACAGCAATTTTAAAATAATAAATAGCTCCTTTTAACCATGAACCTCCATGTGCTGGATCATTGAAGTGACCAATATTGATAGCCCATACAGCGACGCATATAATAGAGATGACCTAGTGAAGGAAAATAAAATGGATAATTACGAGAGAAAACTGTCTGAACTTTAAGTGTATCTTTGAGCATGTAATCAGTCTGGCGGTTTTTATGACCAGAGTATTTATCTCACTGCTCTGTTCCACGAGTGATTGGTTTCATTTCTCTGACTGTACGGCATTATATTGTAATGTCTACTGTAAAAATGATTTTATAACCACGGGAAGAAGCTCTTCATTATTTAAGCGATTTCTAGGGCTAATCAGACCATGTGTTTTTTTCCATTTCTGAAAAACAATTGATTGAAATCTCCGAAATATCGAGGAATTGATTAAAAACAAAATAGCCGTCATTGTTTTCTAGAAGGAACAGTACAAATTTAAATCAAGTATACGATACAATCTAGTAAGATGTATTACCAATATTCACCGAAATTGCTTAAAGAACACGGCATAGTAACAATATAAAGAAAGAATGAGTACGACTTCCAAATAGATTCTCTTCTTAGCCATTGGATTTAAGCAGTCATCACTTAAGAATTAACCATTCAGAACACTCATAGAGAAATTATCCCTTTCTGAACTGCATACTGTCTTCAGGGAGTGTGGTAAAACAGATACTCCTGCTAGACCCCATATGTATTTAGGACTGTCAAATTTCATTATTTCAGTTGTGTGCGACTGACAAGATACCAACGAAATTAAGGAATCAGTCTTCATCTTGCAATCAGAAATATACTTCTTCTACGTTCTACTGACAGTTTCATGTATTTTGTTAGACTGTATATGGCTTATGTGTTCTGTAGTTTGCGTTGTAAGCGTAAGTGAGAGATAAACACGGTTTTGATCAAGATTATAAAGTTTTGGAAAAAGTTACTCAATTAGAAAGTGTAAATTCAACATCTCTAAGTTCTGCATATTTTGCCATAAAGAAAATACCATGAATGCCATACAGATGTATCATTTTAGACGGTTATTTTAAAGTGTAGCAGATAGAATGGCTGCGACTCTGCCAGCCAGTAATTAAACTGGGCACATTCAACCCTCAACAGGCGAAATCACATCATTTCGGAAGCAGTTAATTTGAACTGGGAGAGAGGTAATCTAATGGAGATAATTCCTGTCATCTTAAAGAAATGAATAACCATATAATGTTGTGTGTAATTCATAATTTTTTCCTGTTAACAGCATACTTTTAGAAATGACTGATAGAACCAGCTTCAAAGCGAATAGACACAGAATAATAACAGTGAAAAACTCCAAACGAATGTAAATAACTGAATTCCAACGCCAAAGTATATCAACATTAATGCCCCCTCCAATTAATAAGTTTATAGCATTGAATGATTGATCTGAGTGTATGCACTTTAATGCGTGTACTTCAATATATGAACTGACTTTTTGGCCAGAGAATTCTTACTGAATTCCTTGTATAGTTTAACATTTTTTTTAAGAAAAAAACTATCCTAAGTATTCAAGATTCCAGTGCAAACATACAGAGAGAGAGAGAGAGAGAGAGGGAGAGAGATACTTCCACATCTCAATCTACATACGCCTAATGGTATCGGAACATACACATCTATCTTTATAATTTAATAGTCCGATTTACAGTGTGCTGTATAATGACTTAAAATAACCCAAACCTAAATCAATTCCATAAGCAGAAGTTAGAGGGAAACAGGAAAAAAACTAGAAATAAAAAAGAAAGGTTAGATATTCTTCCTCAACCTTATAATCACAGTATGTGTTTCTTGTTTGCCTATCAATCAAACCAAATCACCAAGGCACAACACTTCTGAAAAATCAATAGACCAATCAGAATCGCCAGATGGAAAAAAATGGTGACTGCTAAATCTAATCAATAGTTTTCAGAAATCGTAAATGCCATCATATTTAATTCCATATAAACAATATATAATCTAATATAGTTATTTTACATTTTTTTGCCGTGTTCTTATTCTTCCTACAGTGTATTAAAGTATTCGCATATAAAAAGTATGCGCCAGTTCTCACAAATGAAACCATACCATTTTGGGTTAGGTTATTCGACAGATCAAGTACTGTGAAGAAGTTAAGATGGAAAGGTGAAAAATACGAAGGAAAATAGGAGTCATTTTTGTTTAAATGTTATTCATATATATTCTTTTTGAAAATACCAGCGAATAAGTGTTCAGTCTTGAAATATATATTTTGAGGTGAATAACATTTCTCTTTCAAATTAACTGTTAAACAAAGGTTAGTTAACACAAATCCTTTGGGAATTGTAGTGAAGAAATAATAAAAAATCCATTATATTATTTCTTATAGGCTTTCTTCCTTCATGTAACGTAATAAATGTGATAAATGTAACTGGAAAAAATATCAGTTTACATGTAAAGAAGCCTTCGTGGTTCACAAGTTGAGTCATTGAACAAAATATTCTTTAAGCCGACCAGACAGAAGTTTAGAAATGCTTTTCCATTTTTGTGTAAAAGTGATAGATTATTGTATTTGGTAGAATACCAATCTGAATTGATGTTAAATATTTTTACAGGCGATCTCCAGAATCTAGGTTTCAAGGTTTTTGGCACTCGTTTGCATTGCGTCACTGAAACATCATAAAACACTGATGACTGGTAGAATAAAGTCACCACCAGCGCTAAGGACATTACGTGACATTGACTCCTCCCTAGTGACCACTCAGTAAACGCATTACAAAAGGTGAGTCGTTAGTCAGAATATCTCGGTGGTGAAATCTTTGACTACAGTAGTGGCTGATGTGGGTTCGAATCTCCGAGCGGACATTCGTTCCTTCGGTGCTGCAGATACATTTTGCTGACGAGTGACATCGAGCACGAGACCTGAGTCTATGAGATCTTGGTGATCTCCTGAAACCATCTGTTGTCACTACGAAGTGTACCGCTTTGTTGAGTCACTTAACCTAGTGACCACAACGCAAACTTGACCTATTCAATTTAATCAGCACCAACATCAAGGACTTCACAGGTGGCACCGCATATTCACGAGCGACTAATTGGAGTATCAGTCTACTGATAAATTGTTAAGTTTCTTTGTTATTCAGGATTTCATCATGAGCTGACATTAGTTAGAGAACCGTTGGAAAACCTGGGAGTACTAAACAGCTGTTTCGTCCTAGTTTGGGACTCTTCATCAGTACGCACTCACACAATGGGGTTCTAACCTAGGACCTTCCGGTTACAAGGCGAGCTCGTATACCATTAAGCCACTGGGACCCGATCCAATGGTCCTTGAATTCTAACTTCTGCCAATTCACGACATAGCGCGACCGCTAGCCAATGTCTTCGGTGAGTATTGTTATTGCTAGGAAGCGAAAGTGATTTGATTCATTCTTTCGCTAACCAAAACCCGCTAGTGAAACTATTGAAACTCAGTGGAACAATGTTTTGACTGTCTCTTTTGACTCTAACTGTTTGCAGTTATCACCGCACAAGAGATCGAACCCGCCATGTCTTAGTTTGCAGAGTGATGGAAGTTACTGAGAACAGATACTCACCAATAACAAGAAATTGGAGTGGTAATATGGCGGATAACAGGATTCTGATGAAGTGGTCTAATGGCAACTTGACTGATTCATAGCCACGATATTCTGGACTCAGTCCATAACGAATTGGTAGTTGTATACCACTGAAAAGTTTTATACCAGGAAGAAACATGCGTTTACTGTGGTCTAACTTTCAGTTTTTGTTTAAATGATGTCGTTTTGGCAAGAGGTTAGTCAAATTTTCACTACCTGGGAGTCCAACACAACTTCATGCCGAATAACTGCGTTCAAACACAGCTTTCTGTTTTTATTGACGTTGGAGCTGAAACTTACTGACCAAACTGCTTATCAGTGTAGATATAATCACACTGTTTGATGGACTGATCATCTTTCTTTTGATTTATACAATTAGTTCCCTTTACGGATTTCTGTTAAGCAAGAACATTTAAACTGAAAAAGAGCTAAATTCTGAAGTCAATAAAATTCATAGCACTTTGATGGAGTCTTTTATTTTACCTAAGAATGCCATAATGAAACATTCTCTGATTGTTTCATAGAGTAAAAAGTGAATTTACTGTCACCAGTCTTAAGAATTCGGCTTTCGTTTCAATCTTATGCCCAGATTAACAGATGAAGAAATGTTGGTAAGAACAATAAAAAGTTGGCTCTGAGTGGTAATTGTTCCATGAATTTCTGTGGTTGTTAATAGAAACTGAATTAACCAAAATCACAGAAACCTTTTCAGATGAAATAATTGAGCATTTTATAAAATTGTGTTTTAAGATCTGGTCATGGCAATGTTCAATTTATGCATAACACTACGAATATCTTACACTTGAAATTAAGTGTAACTGGCTTTGCTGATTAGAGAGAGGATATAAGTTGGCTGGAATAAGGTAATCGTGGCAAAATGGACATCTATGGAAGCTACAAAAATTGTTAGGAACAATTTTTAATTACAGCACAGCGGAGAAATAAGAAATTTTCAAATGTTTCCCATAATGACTCTATGTTGGCCCAAACGGTCATTTGTTTGTTTTATTAAATATCTGCACTTAGTATTATCATGGCCTAAAAGACTCTAGAGGTGATGACGATTCCTGGCCAACATCAACAGCAACAACAACAGACAACAATCAGCCAGCATAAATGGGAGGAACCTGAAAGAAACAACCTCCTTCACCTACCTTCAGGGGAGCATAGTTTCAACTACAAGCGGAACTAACGAGGATATCAAAGCCAGAATCGGATAAGCAAGACAAGCTTTCATTACTCACTTCAAGTCTGTGTGGAGGTCAACAGCACTCAGCATCAAAAACAAGATCTGGATCTTCAACTCCAATGTGAAGTCAGTGCTACTCACTATACGGATAAGAGACTTGGCCAGCGCGTCATAAAGAGCATCTCAAACAAACTACAAACCTTCATTAACAGTTGTCTTCGCTCAGTACTCAAGATCAGATGGCCGGCCAGAAAAGATCAACAACAGGGATCTCTGGGAATGGGCAAACCAACCAGGAACCGATTGTGCAACAAAGGTGCAGGAAGAAATGGAGATGGATTGGTCATACTCTGGGGAAACCATCAAGTGACATCACTAGACAAGCCATCGCTCTAGTGGAACCCGAAAGGGAAGCGGCGAGTTGTTCATCAGTGCAAGGGTGAGGGTGAATTGAAGGAGGTCATGTGAAGAGGAGATGAAAGCATGTGGGCAGACTTGGAGCAGGGTGAAAAAGTTGGGAGAAAACCGAAAGCAATGGAGATGCGCAGCTGAAGCCCTATGTTCCTTTAGGAATTAAAGGATATAATAATAATAAATAATAATAAAAGATTCCAGAGATTACAAACAGTAGTCGGAATGATTGTTTAAGTGACACTGTTGTGTGAGAAATCCTTCCTTTTACTACACTTCCAGTGTGCTCCAAGTTTTAGATTTTGGATAGAAATTTCAGCATATTTGGTAGTTTTTACCGCCAAGTATGTTTCACGCGACAAAGCCCTTTCTTGACTTAAGTGAAGAGAGGTTTGTAAAACTAGTAGTTACTAAATTGTCAATATGACGGATGACAAATGGGGCTTAAAATTTACTCACAACCACCACATTACCATTGTGTCACCTAAAAACAACTCAAAAAACAAGCTCAGTGCTAAACATCGAGACTAATGATAAGTCCAGTACATTGGTTAGTTGAATTTATTTCACCTAAGACCGTAAAACAGGTATCTGAATGGAGCTCCAGGAAGATAAATAGATAATTGTGTAATCGTTATCCATCTACAAAAAGTTCGTTTGTGAAATTAAACTAAAACCTATTCAGGACACAAATATAGCTGTTTAACTATCACAATTCCCGCTGAATAAAATAGGCGATTTCGTTGGAACTTCAAATTTACTGTCAACAGTGACACCTGCTCGTAGGTTGATCAGTAATGAAACGAAGGACAAATATTTTTATTTCTCAGTTGGCAAAAGTTAGCAAAACAACTCACTTTTGATAATTGTTGTCCGAATTCATCTAATTTTTGTTGTAACGGTGTTTTATCCTGTTCCGTATCCATCATTTGATTACGAATTTTACCAATTTCAGTCATTAATCCGGTTGAAACAACAATGCCTTTAGCCTTACCAGAGGCAACATTGGTTCCACTGAAGAGAATATTCTTTTTGTCTTGATTAACAGCTCTTGGATCTGGTACAGGATCAGTAAATTTGATAACGGACACTGATTCACCAGTTAGAATGGATTGATCTATTCTTAGAGTTGTACTCATAATCTTGATTATTCTTAGATCTGCAGGCACTTTATCCCCAACTATAATGAAAATAGAGTACAAATTAGTGGTAAACTGTGGATATACACTCTGTACTCAATTGAAAGCTTTTCTAAGTGTTTACAACTTAACTTAGCCAATGACTGTATTGATTTCACAAATTAATAAATGGAAGGTTCAATGCTAAATAAATTAAGTCAATCAAGAAGATAAGTCTGTAGGGTTAAAAGAGACTGGTGATTAGCTTCGCACCATAATATATTTAAATAATGATTTCAGGTAGACGAAATGTTTCTCGAAGATTTTAATGTCAGTCATACATCAACGTGTCCATACAAAAAAGTACAAAACTCCAGAAAGGTTTTACCAATCTCAAAACTGCTAGAGATAGTTCATCGAAGCGAATACTGTTCACATGAATTTTTCTTCTTTTTTAACATTAGACTTCATGCAACTTTCTATTTAACATACATTCAAGTTAAAAGCAGTCTGTTTCAAGATGAAAAGTAGTCTGTTTCAAGATGATCATAGAAAATCAGCTTGTCAGTTGAATTTGAGAGGAAGGAAAAGATTTTACAAACTCATTCCGTTTCAGGGTTCAGCAATAACAGTCTCACTATCAGAGGAAACTCTCCTGTTTATTCCCAATAGTGAAGGTAGATGGAAATATCTTGAAACACCTAGGAAACAAAAAAACTGGATTATATCAGAAGGCTAGTAAATAACTACTTAGCTACTTGAGGTTCATGTTACTATTCCTAACTATTGAAATCTACTCGTCTGGCTACATACAATTTCGAAAACAATCTCCGTCGAGGACTATCAAACACAGATCACAGAATGTGGTTATTCATATTAAACTTTCAGGAATCATTGGAGTGCTTTACTGGACAGGATAAGCATATCGATGTAGCAAGTTTTCTAAGTACCAAATCATTTCAACAGTACACTTCATTTTCTATAGTTTGATTTGTAAGGGTTAGTTATGTTTTTACGAGTTGATCACGGATTGATAGCAGTTAGAGAAGCATTGAAAACTAGGGAGTACTGGACAGTTGCTGTTAGAACTCATGAGCCATTGAATCAGGTCCCAGTGGCTGAATGTCATACGAGCTTGCCTTGTAACCGGAAGGTCCTGGGTTCGAATCCCAAGGGGTGCGTACTGCCAATGATTCCCAAACTAGGATGAAACAGCAGCTGTCCAGTACTCCCTGGTTTTCAATGGTTCTCTAACTGATATCAATCCGTGATCAACTCGTAAAAAGTACACTTCATCTAAAAAAAATGATTATTTCTTAGTTGACAGTAAAATCGAGAATCGCCAAAAAAGTGTAAGTGATCACAGTTGCGAGTTAAGTGAATCTATTCACACTTAGTTTTGACAAGCATTTCTTAGTCTTTCTGCTTATTAATGGATAAGACTAAGTTTTCTTTGTATTTAAATTAGGTTGGATGATATATATATAGATTTCAAAATGTCAGAGACTCAGGTGATAGAGATAACATTGTGACTAAACTTTCAAAGCATTTTGCTAACTAACATCCGCTGAAGAAATTTTTTAAACTGTTGTTAATAGAACTTTTAATACTACGCATTTTGACCTGTGCACACCACATTCTTCATGAAAGCTGGTCATATCTTGAACCTGCCTGACAAACACTCAATTTAACGTATAACTGTAATTGGTGAGGAATAATCCCCTTAAATGTGATTTTTTTGCTAACTGTGACTCTAACTTAGGATGCTTCACTGTAAGTATCTAAATTTCACTGGTGAAAGTTAGTTTGTAAGGCAATCTACAGTGGTAAAAGCGTCAAGAGTAATATCTATAGCTGACGAATTCTTGTTCATCACCACCAAATAACATTAACAAAATAATTTTCAATACAAAGTTTTAAAATATCTCAAGGATTAAAAGTTTACCTTATAAAACCTTTATCCAATATGTACAAACATTAGAACTAATTGAAAATAACCCAGATTTTGGCAACTTATTTAATTATTCAATGTGCATATATCTTTTATTGAATCAATGTGTTTTTAGATAATTTCAAGGTTGAAGGATGAAAAAAGTGGAATTTCCAAATCAATTTTTACATGTTTATTTTTAATCCCTAATCTTTTAGGTAATTGATTATAAAATAAAGCTTTGCGACAGATTTAATATGTGACCTGTTAAAAATATAGTTTTTCAAGCCTTTTATCTAAACTGATTTACTGAAAAAGACTGTATGAAATCTCCTGTGACACATTTGAAACAGTCTGAGCTTGTAGTATCTTAGAAACAGTCAGATGTCTGTCAAATAACAGAGTGTATTATTCTTTCTTTTGTAAGGCTTTTAAAAGTAGACACCACGAAAGGAATTCAGTCGTCATATTTTTTTCAGCGTTGCAGAAAAACTTTAAAGTGATTATTTAAAAGTTTGACAAGACAGAATGGAGACTTTTATTACGTGTTCAAACCATTTAAGTTTTTATGTACAGCATTTGAACAGCCAATACATATTTATTCGGACATCTACTCGTTGTCTACACTGACGTATTTCTCTATCAGTGATACTAATTTAAGAGAAACGTCATAGTGGTGGAACTAAAAGGAGAAAGAAATGTATCGCACGGGTGACCGCTGAATCGTGAGGAAGTTTCAATTTGATCCTGTCCCCTGAAGAATAATTAAAATAAGTAGCTAAAATATCCATTTTAAACATTCTTTTGTAAATTTCATTTGCACTAATAAACAAGGTGACCTCTATAAATGCAAAATAACCAATCACTGCTTTAGAAAACACTACTGTATTGAAAACTGAATGACTGGCATTCCACTGGTATGCTTCATTGAGTTCCACGTCGCCTCTGTTGTGGATTTTTAAATAATTGGATATTTATGAATCAAAGAGGTAGTACTTTGTGTCCTACAGAGTATTATAATGTCTCCATAAAAACTTTCTTTTGATAGTCAGAATACTCTGTTTTCCCCTAATGATTCAGTCGAACAATACAGTGTTACTCTGAGACATGCTTTTGAATTAAAGAACAAATTTGCTTGCGAAGGAAAACAAACGAACCCATGAAATAACAAAATTTTCACATAGGTTACTTACCTGATACTTCAACAATATCACCAGGAACCAGCTCCCTTGCTTTAATTCTTTGAATACCATAGTGACTTTTCCGGAATACTTTAGCTATTTCCGGCTCATACTCTTTCAGTGCCTCAATAGCTGACTCAGCATTACGTTCCTAATTATGGAAAAAATATTTAAATATGTTTTAAAAATATGAACTTTTATGTTGAGCTAATTAGTGGGTAGAGGTAAGAACTAGTCCTATAGAATATTATATGTGCTCTAATTATTAAAAGTCAGACTAGATTCATGAAAACTGTTGACCTTCATTGATATTCGAGATTTTACAGGATCTAGATTACTGACTGCTATACAGTATCAGTCCTTAACAAAACAGCTGCCTGGTGTCGCGTGTCTCCAGTAAACCACGAGACAATATATCCACTTAATCCCAACTTATTCTGAATGAATCTGTTCTTGGGAAAAGGGCCTTTTTATGTAGATTAAATATGAATGATGCATAATAGGAAAAAGTAGACTTTGGAATGATACTTCACCGTTTTTTATTCCCGTAGATAGAGTAGAAACCCATCATTTCTTCACCTAAAATATCATTCGTACATATATATATATATATATATTGAAGTGCTCAAATCTGTACAGAAGTGCTCACTGTTTACTTAATTTGAGTTTCATATATTCCTTATGCGGAGTCATAAAAAGTTGTGCTAACTAAGTTGGATTTGCTGGCCACCACCAGTTGATAAATATGAATGATTATAGGGAGACTATATCATGAATAAACTTCCGTTGGAAAACATAGCAGTTGTATTATTTGTAGTTAAGCAGTACAACTAAAAGATGTGTACAATTCACTATTGTTACGGAACATGAGCCCCTAAGAAGTTATCAGCTAAAGCATAACAACTTTGTTTCTTTGTGGTTTTCAGCATTATTATAGCTGAAGCCAATCTTGTGTAATACCCACTCTCAGTATCAATCCATTCCTCGGAAACACCTCATTCGATGCTGTTTTGCTAACTTTTGCTTGAATAAACTTTCATAATCTAACAATGGTTCATGACACGCTTAGAACTGAGACTATAGCTAACCATTCATACATCCATAAAAGTCAAGATATTATGGGTAATTCACCAAACCAGTTCAATTTATATTAGCTGACTCTCAGTTACATCATTTGTTAGTACTCACCATGGAATTAGGTCTGCTAATCACAATGAACTCATAACAGGTAATTATCAGTATTGTCAGGTTCTTTATTTATGGTGACCAGAATTCAATGAGGAGCGAAAGCTGCACAAGAGGAAACTTACGAAAAGTCTCCGCAAGGACCGTGAACAGTGGTGGGCGACAAAAGCCAAAGAGATGGAGAAAGCTTTGAGGATAGGCAACACCAGGCAACTCTTTGGACTCATCAGGGAAACGGGTGGGAGAAGACAAATCATCAGTGAGACAATCTCGGAAAAAAATGGCACTATAATTAGCTCCAGGATAGACGACTGGATCGTTGGAAAGAGCATTATGAGGAGCAGTTTAATTTGCCCACAGCCACGCTCAACCTTCCGAGCATCCAACACCTCCCTGAATGGGATATAGACACAGGTCCTCCGTCACTAACTGAGGTTACTAAAGCTGTCACCAATCTGAAACTAGGCAAAGCAGCGGGACCTGATGGAATGACGCCAGAGGTATTTAAGTACGGTGGAGACAGCTTACTGTCCGGATTAACTGAGGTACTAGGCAGCGTTTGGGAATCAGAAGAAGTCCCATCGGGTTGGTGTAAGTCACTGATTATCCCCATATACAAGAAGGGAGACAAGTCTTCCTGTGATAATCACAGAGGGATTAGCTTGACTAATATAGTATCTAAAGTCTTAGGCTCAATAATCATGCGTAGACTGAGTGGTGCTCGGGAAGCACAAACACGAGAGAGCCAGGCAGGCTTTAGACCAGGAAGAGGGTGTATTGATCATATCTTCACCCTCCGACAGATTCTAGAACATAGGCATTCCTACCGGCGTCCAACAGTCATTATATTTCTTGACCTAAAGGCAGCATTCGACTCTGTCGATCGGGAAGTTCTCTGGAGATGCTTGGCTGTAAAGGGAATTCCAAGAAAATATATTGCACTGATTAAGGCACTCTATTCGTACTCATACAGCCAGGTGAGGGCTTACGGCGAGCTGTCATCTGAACTGATGACGACCAGTGGTGTCCGTCAAGGATGCCCATTATCTCCTTTTCTATTCAACTTCATCATAGATGTGTTAATGGACTTAACCCTAGGTGACTTCAGCGATTCAGGGATTGACTTGCTACCGGGGAATAATCTCGTTGACTTGGAATATGCAGACGATATAGTCCTTCTAGGCGAAGACGCTGACGAAATGCAGAGTCTTCTAAACACCTTGAACACCAATCTACGAATGTTTGGCATGCGATTCGCTCCCGCCAAATGCAAGATGATGTTACAGGACTGGACTACATCGACGCCTAGTTTAAAAATAGGAAGTGAAGTGGTAGAGCACGTTGACCGCTTCACTTATTTGGGAAGTACCATCAGCCCCAACGGGCTGATCTCTGACGAAATCTCAGCACGAATACAAGGGGCTCGTTTCGCATTTGTTAGTTTACGCCGACTCTGGCGTAGACGAGATGTTCGACTATCGACCAAAGGGCGGGTGTACTGCTCATCAGTCCGCTCCGTCCTCCTTTATGGTTGTGAGACCTGGCCACTGAGAGTGGAAGACATGAAAAGACTAGCTGTCTTTGATCATAGGTGCCTGCGTTCTATTTCCCGTGTAAAGTGGCATAATAAGGTGAGCAACATGGAGGTTAGGCGTAGAGTTCTAGGTAAACAGGGGAAATCAATCGACGAAGTCGTGAAGCTACATCGACTGAGATGGTTAGGACATGTGTTACGTATGCCAAGTCATCGCCTCCCTCGACGAGCAATGTTAGCGGATATAGGGTCAGGCTGGAAAAAAGCTAGCGGCGGTCAAACAAAAACTTGGCATCAGTCAATGAAATCCACAACAGTTGGTCTAAGCCACGTAGGAAGGTGTAGACTTCCAGGCTGGGGTCCTCGGGACGGTAAAAATCTATGGTTGGAAACAATTGGTGACATGGCTCAAAATCGTTCTCAGTGGCGCAGATGCATCCACTCCCTGTGACTTATGATCTTCAATGAAACTGTTTTGTATTTCTTTATTACTCCTTTGTCTCACACCTCTGCTCACTGTTTCTATTATGCTTTTCTTGTACTTTCTTCTCTTGCTTCGCGTGCTACACGGAATGTGGCGACTTGAACTTCCGCACATTTGTGCAAAGTTCTATGTCGAAAACAGACAGACAGACAGGTGACCAGAATAGGTTAGAGATAGTTTCGTGTTACAAAAGTACTCAGGCAATTAGTTTGTCAGCTAATCGACTTGGGTTTGACTTCAGGAGTAAGCAAGACGATGAAGACACATTATATGCCAGGTCAAATAAGCAAATTTCTGTAGAAATCAATACTGATTTCGACCGATACTACTGACATCAAATAGTAAAACACATAAGAAGGAATTCACTTACCTGCCATACACCAATGACGGCATTAGCAACCAAGATAAGCAAGATTACAAGTGGTTCAACAAATGCACTAATGCTTTCTTCACTCTCTTCAAATAAAGCGAGAACCTAAATTGTAAATGGGGAATGCGACGAAATATAAATGATAAAATGGCACTGGCAAGTCAACACATCAATTCTTAAAACCACAGTGATTACAAGTGGTGTCTTCAGTATTCTCTGGAAAATCATATTATTAAAAGAAACAATATCATGGAGATATCCAGCTAACTTCTCTAGTGTTCATAAACGTTTGTGACACAGAAATCAGAAATTTCTTTCAGTATCGAAAACGTTTCAATTCATTGTAATCATTATGAGCCTTGGAATGAGGCTCAGTCATCTGTGATCACTTTCTTATCATAATTAACTTTGCAGTTAGTCACGAGTTCACAGCTAAGTGGATATTCAGTTTTCTAAGCACCTATTGCGTTACTGATACTGATAATTAAGCATTTAATCAAGTGATATTACAGTATATATCCGTAAAAATGAAACATAAAGAAATATAAGTGATCAAATTTCAAGTTAGTGTATACTGACTGTGCTTAATCGTCTGCCTTACCTACAGAACGATAACTGTGCCTCAAAGTCAATCAATATTTTTCTAGTTCACTTTCTTCCCCATATATATAAAATTACTGTTGATATTATACACCGTTCAGTTTACCTCGTCCTCAGGTTGTTGAATTACATTCATCTTGATTTGTGTGCAATAAAATACAATTATTCTATAAATAGTAACATCATCGAATAGGGATATATTTATGAGAGGCTTACTAGCGACTGGCCCTATTCAGGTGGGTAGTTATCTGGGTTTCTGTTGGGACGTCGCGACCAGTAGGGTGCAGGAGGTCGGGTGTTAGGACAAATACTCACCGAAGACATTGGCTGTTGGTCGCGCTATGTCGTGAATTGGCAGAAGTTGGAGTTCTTGGGCCACTGAATCGGCTTCCAATGGCTTAATGGTTTGCGAGCTCGCTGGCCTTGTAACTGGAGGGTCCTGGGTCTGAACCCCGGTGGATGCGCACTGATGAAAACTCCCAAATTGAGATGAAACGGCTGTCCAGTACTTCCTAGTGGTTTAAGTGCGTCGATTGTGCGGCGGCAGGATGTTCACAAACAATGCATAATGTCTGGGGTTTCGATCCTAGGCCGACACCCTCGTAATCCTCCTCTAGCCGGTAGTAGATCCGGTAAAGACAGAAGGCTGGGCGTGAGACTGGCAACCCAGATCAGTAAAAGCAAAACCAGTGATACAGAAACTTCAGATCTTTAGCTTGAAGCCCTATGTTCCACTTGGGACGTAGAGGGATAAAATTTAAAAAATGTGGTAAATACTGAAAGTTTTTTATTTGATTGTAATTACTACCTCTTATTGTTGATTTTATCGAATAAAAATGACTACTCCCTGTTGGGACATGATGTCCACTAAGGAATCTTTGGATTTCGCCTGTCCAGTGATAAGTGATCAATTATATTAGTTAGTAATGCAGTCTGTGATGATTTTAATAATTCAGATAAATTCATCAATGAGAATCCTAGTGAAGAAAATACGCTTTATTATTATTATTATAGATCTTTCATTATTTCTCGTAAAATGAATCGAACTTGGTATACATATATTACGCATATATTTTTATTGATCTACATTGTAAAATTGCATTCAGTGCGGAATAATGTTGGCCCTTTTTTGACAGCATTCATGCTTTTAATGAGCGTGCAAGAATCCAAATCATTATATATCAATCGATAAATAGGTTACATATCATTTCTTTGTCATTATCAAATAGTTCAAACTAAATTGTTATTTTTTTTAGTTGAAAGAGGTTAAATGGTAAAGTGAATAGTAGTAGTTGTAATAATAATTAAAATACTGAAATTAATAATAATTAAGAATATGTAGCATGCATTTTTTCTGAGAAGGAGGATTATTTATATAGAAGTATCCAACATTCTTCATCCTATGTTAAATGAAGCGAGCAATAACATATAAATCATATTCTTCGAAGTCTCAGCTTAAGATACCGTTGATATCGCGTGCACGCTCTGCATAGTGACAATTCTACTTGAAATAAATTTTGAAGCGTTACTTTGCAGGAATTTGATGGATTTCAGGTTACACTTCAACAGAAAAAGACATCAGCTAAATAATACTTGAAAAACAGAGTGTAATGGACAGCTAACTGGTTCTTGTTTGGGATTCTTCTCTATTATACACCCCTGACCTTCGGATTAAAAAGCCAGCCGCTTGACTGTTCAGAGATTCATAGTACCACCACCTACCAGTATCCATGGCAAGTATTTGCTGTCGGACACGGCCTGCCATAATCCACTTATCATGACTTCTTATTAGAACTCAAGACATTCTCGTCTTGTAGTTACCCACTAGTAACTATTAGATTGTTCTCCAAGTGTTGACATTTAGGGAATTATCTATTTTGAAATTATATCACGAATTAGGTACTGGATCATGACTGCCTATCGTGTGAGAGTCCCGAACTAGTACGAAATAGCTATCCAGTACTCTCTGGTTTTTAGTAATTCTCAGCTTTTGATTTAACTTGAAATTTACAAAATACATTCACGTCAAGAGTGAAACCATTATTGAGCTAAACAAATGATAAAATGTCTCCATTGTTTTTCAGAAATGTCTTGGTAGCTACATGACAAAGTGTAATTGGAAAAACACTGGAGAAGTTACGTTGAATTAAAAGTCAATTTGCTGAAGACCATCAATATTGTTAGTAGTTTAACGAATTTGATCGGCTGTTCAACTTTAATACTGGTAGATTCTCAGAAATGCTGTAAGCTTCAAAGTTTTTATTTTTATCTCTCTTTTTATACAAGTAACTCATTGATATGGATGTTAGACCTCATTTACTTCAGTCATTTAGAAAAAAACAACTAGTTAGGTGACCTTAATTATTTTAAATGAGTTAGTTGACAACAGTCTGTAATAATACGCAGGGTAGCACAGAGGATGCTAAAATACACTAGTGGTAAATTATCTCATCACTTTTAAAAGCGGAAATGAAGTTGAATTCATGCTCACTAGTGTTCAAAGAATACTTACAAATGAAATGATAGCGGCCAGTAGTAAAATCTTCACCAGTAAATCGTCGAATTGTTCAAGAACAAGCTGCCAAATTGCCTTACCTAAGAAAAATAAAGTGAAATTATTGTGAATTCTGTAATTTGAAAAAGATACAACTACTGTAATATTATATTTCCATTTAATAACATTTTTCAATGTATTCTAGGATATCTAAATAATTTATTCGATGGGATGTTTTTATGACGATTCAGGAGAAATCACTTTGTATTAGATGTCTGAATCTCGTAATAAGGAAGTTTTCATGCTTTTGATGCTTTGTGTTTATTTATCATCTGCACAAAATCTTAGCTTAGGTTATCAGTAACACATTTTTTAAAGTAGTACTAAATGCCATCTTACTGTAACTAATTACAATATAACTGTCAGTTGAATGAACAGTCAAGCATACTTTTCGTATTTCAAGTGTGACAAATGACATAATCTCCACAAGTCCTTACTAGGACCTACCTGTCTACTCAGTTGAACAACTATGGGTAATACCTTCGAGACTGTTTTAATTCACTTGCAAAGAAACTACAGCTGACGGAAATTAACTTCAAACAGCCTAAAGAATAGCTAAAAGACTGGTTTCAGTGTACTTGGAGAAAATAAGGAAGCATCTTAGCCCCACAACAGAACAATGACTACCGTTTCATGGTGGTAACTTTCTCATGATAAATGCATAGTCACAAAACACTGTGTGGGCAAACCTAAGAATCATCAAGATCACGAAGCATTTGTCAAGTAAAAATCTACTCTTAACCAACATATCTACGCCTTACTGATAAACTCTGTGTGCTCTACACTGAACAGTAGATAGCTGAATAAGATATCTATACAATATTCAATAAAAACTAGTTAGAGTTGTTAACTCACTTTCTTCGGCAGGAAGTTCTGTGGAAATGAAATAAAAAAGCAAATGTTAACAAAAATCTAAATAAAATAGTTGAACATTAATTAAATATTATTAGAATGATTGTAAGATTTCACAAAATTGTTGTAGATGAATAACATAACTTGATTACGAACAGAGCAGATTGAAAGTCTCAGTAACATATATATGTACATACATATGTATATTACTTAGTGGTGGAGGAGATATGAAATAAGAGTACTACAAGTTCACGTCATTTAAGATTGTACGACGAAGACAATGCTTAGAAAGACGACGAATGCTTTACAGCTAAACCATACAGCTCAACCACACACAATTACACAAACATTGCTGATTATTCAGAATAACTAATCCAGATGGCTCTTTAAATCGCTGAAAAGTCACAATGAAATCCACATTCTATCATCCTGTGAACATTAGAGACCCAACATCCTACCCCCCAAATACCCTCCATGTGAAAGAACAACCTCATGTTCTTAAACTTCCATACAATTTCTAAACATCACCTACTAATTCGTACGACTCTGTCGAATCTATACTGAGTGTAGCATATTCATGCAAATTGTGATACTCACACATTATAGATTTTAGATTTACTTGTGTTGTTTGCATACAGATATTTAAATCTTTCAGAATTTCTACTCTCACCACTATTGTTTCCCTCTCTCTCTCTCTCTCTCGAGCTTTAAATGACATGACAAATTTGCTGACATTCAAAATTATTCTAGGTCACAATGTATTTACAACTAAAACTACTTTCTTACTTTCATGGCTTTACAACTTTTAATACGCAATAAAGGGATGCGACATTTATTTTTAGCTTGGATTTTTTAGTAGTAGAATTAGATTAAATTTATAGAGATCCGGATTTTTACAATCTTGTTTTGTTTTCTGTTCTCTTAGTTGGATGGTTTAGCTGAGAACCTTCCACTGTCTTTCTGGGTGGCATTTTCAATACCAGCTTCAGAATAAAGTCAACTTTTGAAATTCTGCGTGAATGAAATAATTATCTTTCTCAGTAGAGAAGATGTAGTCTAAAAAATAATGAAAGCTGTTAAACGAAACCAGCTAACTTAGACAACATAATTTGATGTATCCCGCAAAAAAGTTAAAGTCACTGTATCATTGTGAGAAATATATTTTTCATACTCATATTTGACACTTTGTTTTCAGTTAGAATGATATAATTAGGCTATTGAAAGACTATTTTTTAAAATTTATCAACAGGGATTAGTCTCAATAAGAAAAATGCAGATCCCTATTATCTCTATTGTTCAGTGCCAAAGTTGAGAAATTCTTAAAATGCATAGAATTTCATTCAGAAGATGACCTTAGGATAAACACAGGTTGATTAGATAAAGGTAGTCAATTTCAGAAATACTGTTGACTTTTATCATATTGCCGTCATTTGTAGCAATACTTCAAGTATGGGGAAGTTTCACACACAATAACTTCTTGAATTCAATTTTAGATTTTCCCGTCGATTGACTGGACCGAAGTGCTCGGTCTCAGGTTGACATGTCGACTCCTTATGCAGATGCTTCGACGACGTCTGGGCATGTTATTAGCATTGATTGGGGGATAGTGATTAGCAGTGGAATCCAGGACGCGCATTTCGTCCCATTTAGGATTCTTTCAAATGGAAATACCTGCATCATCACTCACTGTGGAATGCAGGCACATCCAGCTGACAACTCTCGAATAGGACGAAATGAGCATTCTGGATTCCACTGCTAGCCACTATCCACCAATTAACAATAACTTATTTCCTAAAATAAAACTATTCTCTCTTGAGATTAGTTATCGATCCACAGAAATGAGAATCACTACTCAGAAGATAGGCTTTATCGAGATATGCTACTTTTCTCAGAAGGTTTCCAATCTCAGGAAATCATAAATATTTAATGTTTGACAATTTTGGCGCATTACAAACAACATTTTAAGCATAGAATAAGGAAAATATTCATTTAGCCCAATGCATAAATGAACCACGGAAAACTGAAAATAGCCTATGATTAGTGCTGAAAGATTAATCTCCTAAAATGAAATTTTTGAATAATTCATCTTGAAATTCATTTTCTTTATTACATGCATTTATTCAAATAGATACATTTAATCATAATAACTTACCATTAGGACCAAATTTTGCAGTTTGTTTCTTAACCTGATCATCACTGAGACCATTTTCTGGATCAGAGTCGAAATAGGTCAGAACTTCTTCAACTGTTTTAGAGAATGCTGTCTCCATACTTTCAATAAAATCAATAACACGAAAGTAGATTTGTTCCTTTTGTTATTACTGTTATCTCAAACTATCAGTATTTTGTTTTCAATGAAATTATAAGATAGTACCCTTCAAACGAATGCTGAAACTGTCAAAGTAAACAGCTGAGCTGATAGAAAAATGATTAACTCTTATTTTATAATCAGTTAACAATATGTATATGTGAATAAACTCTATGATGATTGAATGAACCCAACAAACATCAGCAGCAATAACAAAAGAACTCCGTTTGATTTTTCTGGTTACTTAGTTTTTATTATTATTACTACTACTGTTTCTGTTATCAGTATTGATAAAACTGATGACGTTCACAATGTGGATAGGTGAGAAATACTTTTCTTTCTTTCTAATCTCTTCCACTATTTTAAATATACCTACACACTGCATAAGACAAACAACTATACACTACTAAATATGCATTTCCTACACTTACTGTTTGTTCTATTGCCTTGATTTGTAATGTTAACAAACGAATAGATGAAAAGAAGTCAAAATAGAAGCTAACACATATAGATCTTTGTGTGTATCAGTTTTGTGCGTGCGTGCGTGCGTCCGTGCGAGCGAGCGTGCATGCTTAGCTAGCACAAACTCCTAACAAACAACAGACGCACTCAATACGCTTATTCGCCTAAAATCGATGAGGCAATAAGTTAAACCAACTCTATTGGATTTTGCACCCACTTATACCAATGGGTGCAGTACAAACATAGTAATGTGAATAAACACATCACTTGTGCATGTTTGTGGGTGGATAATTATTGAATGGTTACTTTTCCCTTCTAACAGTAGACAATAGATACCAGAATTTTTAAGGCACCCAATCAATTTTTGTATTCACTTATTGCATCATTTGTATGGATGTGTCTGTGCATATGTTCGTCAAAGGAATAGGCAGGGAGATAACTTGAGAATTATTATTGTGATATAGTTATAACTGCGCAAAGGAAACTTCTTTTGGTAGTTCATATAACTAAACATAAAGAAAAAAAAACAGTTTTGGTTCATACATTCTCTGAAATCAGTTAACTACTTTGAAATTATCACACACATACACACATTGTTGTACATACATGAACACATGACTTGATATTACCATTGAAATCAATTGACTATCCGAAAAACCATCTTAACATTTATCAAGAACACCCCTCAACAAGTAAAAGAAATCGAAGTCAAGTACATTATATTATGACATGATGTTGAAAATGGTCAAAGTTTTAAGATAAAACAAAAAAACTTTGTCATTTGACATCCTGAAAAAGAAAAATGTGCATAATTTTGACTGTATCGTTCCAGGTCAGTTTAGGACAAATAGAAATAAAACAATAAAATATAATCAGCACATAAGCAACTGCTGTTTAACTGTTAAATATTCCTGAGATGATGTACTGACTTAAACATCATACTACAAGAAGTGATAAGATTAGGTGGATAATGTAATCCCTCCACAATGTGAAAAGAAACAGTCAGCAGCAAAAATAGTATTAAGTTGATGAAACTATCTGGGATAGTCTTAAATTTGTCATTATTATCTTTAAGATTAATGTCCGCTTAATATGTAATGTAGACGTCAGCTTTCAGAATGATTAATAGCCGTGTCTTTTACCAAGTAAGCTGCTGCACCCAGTAGATATACTGGTGGATCAATTATCTAGAAGTCCTTTCTTCGAAGCCTTACGCAACACAAGCCTACCAGTCCTCCTTCAGTCATCATCCATTGCATAAAATTACTGCATTCATAAATCTTAGAGATATGGTTTATAGCATTCCCTCTTTTTTCATTGGTAAGATACTGGTGACAGATATTTTGTAGTTGTATTTCAAAATGACTGAATTCCAGGAAATCAGAGAACAACAAAAAGAGAACAGAAGTCAGGAATTCGTTTTTGACAGAATTATGTGCATTGAATGAATGCAACAAATGATGACAAACAACACTAAATATTTATGCAGTACAGTAATAGAAACTGTTAATTGCCATATCCATCACATGTCAAATATCGAATTCACGGTTCACTGTCAAGTCTCTTGGACCTCCTAACTGATTCTGTGCTATTATTCCACCGAAATCATTGGAATTAACATCTGAATTATCTATGAAACTAAGATTAGTGGCGGACATCGTCGAAGCATCTGCACAAGGAGCCGACAGGTAAACCTGAGACTGAGCACTTCAGTTCAATCAGTCGACGGGAAAATCTAAAACTGAATGAAACTAGTAGCGGAATCATTAAAATTATAGTAGGACCGAACTACTTCACATATTTCCACCTGATCCAGATTTTGAAGACGTGTGCTCAAGTTATACTGTTGATCCAAAGGCATAGAATTTGATATTTTCATTCGTTCACTTTTGCTTTTCTCTTTAGATGAATTATTACATGATTCATGTAATGCATGAGAAAAAACAACCCGCATTTATCAATGAAAGTTGATTGTCTTTAGCAACTACTGCCTTTGCAAGACTTTTCAATTCTAATTCACGTCAAATTTTTGTGCATACTTCTTCGCTTTTACGAACTTTAGCTATAACAGCATCAGAAGAAACAAACGACCTGCTGCGTATTTCCTTCAGTGAAATTTTATAGTCCATCGTTTTAGAAGTCATGGGTTCTCTAGATGCAGTTTCTAAAGTTTTCTCTCCCTCTACTTTACTATTTGAATTTTTCTTCTAAAACTAAACAATGTTTCCTCTCTTTAGTAGGACTTCTCTCAACTGCTTGTAAACTTGCATGATCATTTTGAAAACACCGAGTTAATCAGTTTAACTTGACCTGCAGACTTTCAGATTACTGTTGAGCCTGACTACTATCTGATCAATATGTTTGTCCAGCATCAAGAAACTTTTAAACTTGATTGCCTACGTGGATTACTGAACTACGTAAAGCATAGATTTCTGATTTGAAATGCCTAACTACAGCCTACAGCTTTAAAGTATACTCATTCTTCTTAGAATTTTTACTATTTTTTGCAACCAGTTAATTATGATGGTAGATCAGAACTTGGTGCATTAAGTTTACCACCTACACACTTTAAACATTGTAAAGCTGATTAGCCGAGCTTAAACTTATTAAATATCTTATTGCAAAGTGATATTTGGACATTCTACAATTTAAGGGCCTATAATACCAATAAGGACAGACCATATTCACTAACAAGGAAGGGAATATTTACAAGAATACCACTTTCTGATTTCTAAGTAATGTCAACAATACCAATACGAGGTAGTTTATGACCAGTAATGCTTGTAACTGAACAGGTAGTAGGGTTTGCCTGGACGTGCTTACAAAGTGACAGTAAGTCTTATTTAGAAATTATGGACTCGGCACTCCCAGTACCAAGTGTTAAAGAGTAAGACTTGTCTGAACATGTAATGAGGATTTTCATGGAATGAGATGTAGCATTGTGAAATGCTGAAGGAGATAATGACTGTATTTTACCAGACAAATCAGGAGAATCTTGCGAATCTTGACTAATAAAAGTATTTGAACTTCAGTAAAAAGACTTTACTTGCTCAGTCATACCATATTTATGGCAATAAGAGTCCTGGGAACGCTAGGTACTTCGTTAGTGAATCTCTCCTTTTTTTCACGTTCCCAGTGGAACATAGGGCTTCAAGCTAGTGGCTTGAAGTTTCTGTAACAGCGTTTAATTGTTTACATGATGGGGTTGCTAGCCTCGTGCCCAACATTTTCCTCTTTACCAGCATTACTTCTGGCTTGGCGAGGTAAGGGAATGCGTCAGCCGGGGATCGAACCCCGGACTATCTGCATGGTTGAGAGCGTCCTAATCACTGTGTCACCGACGCACCGAATCTTCCCATACGAAAAACTTTTCTGATATTCTTGCTGTTCGTCCAAAATTTATCACATGTGGATAACACTTTGTATTTCTGTTTATGAAAACCCGCATTATCAGCTTTGAACAACATTACATCAGTCGGTGACGTAGAGGGAGTTGGGTATTTACTGTTAACCTCTTCATACGCGCAATACATTATTCTTTGGCAGTTTGAAAGGTACATGTGTGAATTTGAACCAGCTCTTTCCCTAGCTTTGGAGTTTAATCCCAGCAAATGTGATAGCGGTGGCACCTATGGAGTTCCGTGCCAGCGAACCGACAACGGTGACCGTCTCCTACAGTTCTGCTCTGATAATCATTTGTTTCTTGTAAGCACTAACTTTAAACACAAGGAGAGACACTGTTTGACTTGGAGACCCCCTTCATCAAACCAACGCTGGACACAAATAGACCACATAGCAATAAGCTATCGTTGGCGTGGGTCGGTAGGAGATTGTCGCTCCTTCTGGAACACGTGCGTAGATACCGACCATGCACTGGTCCGCGCTCGGGTGTGCTTACGACTGAACGGACGTAGGAAACAGCTGGCGGTAAAACCATCACGTCCCCAGCTCGATCAGGAAACTAAATCCGTATTTGAGGAAGAACTAGCTAAACACATATCTGTGTTCGACAGCTGTGCTCACCCTGAAGAAGCTTGGAAAAATATCCAGGCAGCCATAGATACAGCTGTAAAAGCTGTGAATAAGGTAAACCCAAAGGTGAGTAAAAACCACTGGATCTCCACCGCCTCATCCGAACTGATAGATGCTAGAAGACTTATTCCGGCGAGCTCCGAATTCAATGAGGAGCGAAAGCTGCACAAGAGGAAACTTACGAAAAGTCTCCGCAAGGACCGTGAACAGTGGTGGGCGACAAAAGCCAAAGAGATGGAGAAAGCTTCGAGGATAGGCAACACCAGGCAACTCTTTGGACTCATCAGGGAAACGGGTGGGAGAAGACAAATCATCAGTGAGACAATCTCGGAAAAAAATGGCACTATAATTAGCTCCCAGGATAGACGACTGGATCGTTGGAAAGAGCATTATGAGGAGCAGTTTAATTTGCCCACAGCCACGCTCAACCTTCCGAGCATCCAACACCTCCCTGAATGGGATATAGACACAGGTCCTCCGTCCCTAACTGAGGTTACTAAAGCTGTCACCAATCTGAAACTAGGCAAAGCAGCGGGACCTGATGGAATGACTCCAGAGGTATTTAAGTACGGTGGAGACAGCTTACTGTCTGGATTAACTGAGGTACTAGGCAGCGTCTGGGAATCAGAAGAAGTCCCATCGGGTTGGTGTAAGTCACTGATTATCCCCATATACAAGAAGGGAGACAAGTCTTCCTGTGATAATCACAGAGGGATTAGCTTGACTAATATAGTATCTAAAGTCTTAGGCTCAATAATCATGCGTAGACTGAGTGGTGCTCGGGAAGCACAAACACGAGAGAGCCAGGCAGGCTTTAGACCAGGAAGAGGGTGTATTGATCATATCTTCACCCTCCGACAGATTCTAGAACATAGGCATTCCTACCGGCGTCCAACAGTCATTATATTTCTTGACCTAAAGGCAGCATTCGACTCTGTCGATCGGAAGTTCTCTGGAGATGCTTGGCTGTAAAGGGAATTCCGAGAAAATATATTGCACTGATTAAGGCACTCTACTCGTACTCATACAGCCAGGTGAGGGCTTACGGCGAGCTGTCATCTGAACTGATGACGACCAGTGGTGTCCGTCAAGGATGCCCATTATCTCCTTTTCTATTCAACTTCATCATAGATGTGTTAATGGACTTAACCCTAGGTGACTTCAGCGACTCAGGGATTGACTTGCTACCGGGGAATAATCTCGTTGACTTGGAATATGCAGACGATATAGTCCTTCTAGGCGAAGACGCTGACGAAATGCAGAGTCTTCTAAACACCTTGAGCCGCAATCTACGAATGTTTGGCATGCGATTCGCTCCCGCCAAATGCAAGATGATGTTACAGGACTGGACTACATCGACGCCTAGTTTAAAAATAGGAAGTGAAGTGGTAGAGCACGTTGACCGCTTCACTTATTTGGGAAGTACCATCAGCCCCAACGGGCTGATCTCTGACGAAATCTCAGCACGAATACAAGGGGCTCGTTTCGCATTTGTTAGTTTACGCCGACTCTGGCGTAGACGAGATGTTCGACTATCGACCAAAGGGCGGGTGTACTGCTCATCAGTCCGCTCCGTCCTCCTTTATGGTTGTGAGACCTGGCCACTGAGAGTGGAAGACATGAAAAGACTAGCTGTCTTTGATCATAGGTGCCTGTGCTCTATTTCCCGTGTAAAGTGGCATAATAAGGTGAGCAACATTGAGGTTAGGCGTCGAGTTCTAGGTAAACAGGGGAAATCAATCGACGAAGTCGTGAAGCTACAAAGACTGAGATGGTTAGGACATGTGTTACGTATGCCAAGCCATCGCCTCCCTCGACGAGCAATGTTAGCGGATATAGGGTCAGGCTGGAAAAAAGCTAGC